ACTGTTTGCAGAATGGGGCTTTTGGCGGGCTCAGCAGGGCAGAGACAGCCTGGACAATTCCTATTGGCTTTTGAAAGCCAATAGAATTAGACTCTATTCAAGAGAGTCTATTCTATTGGCTTTCAAAAGCCAATAGAATAAAAGGGAGTAGCACAGCTAAGGAAAAGGGGGAAAAATGGCGGACTGCGTTGTTTGGTAACCCCCATGAAATGGTTGTTCGATCCCAAATGGGGTTGCAACCCACAGATTGAGAACCGCTGATATAGACAAAGGCTCAGACTCACAATCCACAACCCCATGAGTAAGAAACAGTCTTGAACAAGGTCACATCATCCCAGTCTCTGCTGCAGGTAAAAACAGTTTGATATTTTTAACATAGAAAGAAGCTGGCTAAATAAAGACGTTTCCATCAAACCACCTGGTGTTAAGGATGGAACTCTTGAAGGAATCAAAGAGATACCAGGAAATTGCTTCAGGATACTTTCAATTTCTGCAGATATAGTAACTACAAAGAGCCAGGAATTTCAGCTGCATTTTAATTATTACTTTTTTCTACATGGTACAAAGTCCCATTTTCTTTCCTTCTCAATTACAATATTATGGGCACATTTTATATGTATGTATGTATGTATGTATGTTTGTACGTATATATATATATATATATATATATATATATATATATATATATATATATATATAAAAGATTCTATTCTGTAACCTGTAACAGTTGGAATTCTTTCAGTAGGATCAGTAATATTTTGGGCAGAAAGCTTTTCAATTTTTAGCAGACCAGCACCACCTTGTGGTCTATACTGTACAGGCTACTGCATCTCTCTGGATTCCCCCCCCCCCATATAGTAAAATGCTATATTAACTTGATTTTGTTTATCTCTTATGAGATTGATTTCTCTCTCAAGAGGAATTAGGGTGAATGGCTGAACCCCACTTCACCAATTTTCTGTACTACTCGGTCAAAAGATGGCGGTATCTAAATTATTTATTTTGCGGATTGATGTTTTAATAATCAGAAAGGCAAAACAGGGTGTGGTTTATCTCTCCCACATTGGGCTTACAGCGTGGATGTCAGAAGAGGTGCTAACAGCAGAAACTATGTCAAGCCAGCAGATGGCAGCAGAGGGTGAAAAATCAGAAGGCTTCTGGGTGTAGAAGTTTGGAACTCCACCTTGTGGACCCCGATAGCAGTGCTGACTAAACACCTGGATTAGCCCAGAGTATAGGTATTCATTTAGTGACCGGTCTAAGTTACGAAAGAGCAGGGGGGAAAATACCTTACGATCAATCCTCATACTACCGATCTTCGCAACATCTTGACCATCAATTGCATGAATTTCTTCCCCCAATTCTCTTTGGTTGCAACAAAGGTAAGTCCAGAACTCAGACTGAATCTTGAGCTCAGCAGTGCCTAAAGATCTTAAGCTGGCACCCAAAAGGTGCCACTGAAATTTTTTTAAAACCAAATTGTATGGAGATACAGTGAGGGGGAAAAAGTATTTGCTCCCTTGCTGATTTTATACGCTTGCCCACTGACAAAGAAATGATTAGTCCACAATTTTAACAGCGAGAGGCAGAATAACAACAAAAAAATCCAGAAAAACCACATTTCAAAAAAGTTATAAATTGATTTGCATTTTAAGGTGCGAAATAAGTATTTGACTCCTTCACAAAACAAGACTTAGTATTTGGTGGCAAAACCCTTGGTGGCAATCACACAGGTCAGACGTGTCTTGTAGTTGGCCACCAGGTTTGCACCCATCTCAGGAGGGATTTTGTCCCATTCCTCTTTGCAGATCCTCTCCAAGTCATTAAGGTTTTGAGGCTGATGTTTGGCAGCTCAAACCTTCAGCTCCCTCCACAGATTTTCTATGGGATTAAGGTCTGGAGACTGGCTAGGGCAGTGGTTCTCAACCTTTTTAATGCCGCGACCCCCAACCGGTCGTAAGTCGAGGACTACTCAACTGGTACAGCACCGTTTGCAGAATGGGACTTTTGGCGGGCTCAGCAGGGCAGAGACAGCCTGGACAATTCCTATTGGCTTTTGAAAGCCAATAGAATTAGACTCTATTTCAGAGAGTCTATTCTATTGGCTTTCAAAAGCCAATAGAATAAAAGGGAGTAGCACAGCTAAGGAAAAGGGGAAAAAAATGGCGGACTGCGTTGTTTGGCGACCCCCATGAAATGGTCGTTCGACCCCAAATGGGGTCCCGACCCACAGGTTGAGAACCACTGGGCTAGGGCAAGGCCACTCCAGGACCTTAATGTACTTCTTCTTGAGCCACTCCTTTGTTGCCTTGGCCGTGTGTTTTCGGTCATTGTCATGCTGGAATACCCATCTACGAGTAAACCTAATTATTATTTTGGCTCGGTGTAAAGCAGAAATTTGGATCAGGAAACTGTTTTAATGCCTTCCGCCACAGGACATATTTTTTTAACAGTATATAGATAGTCCTCGACTTAACAACCACAACTGAACCCCAAATTTATGTTGCTAAGTGAGCTTTGCCCCATTTTACGACTTTTCTTGCAATTCACTTGTTAAGTGAATTACTGCAGTTAATTCTGGCTTAAAGTCTATATGTTTTTTTAATCATTTTCTCTAACCATATATGTATTTTTGACCAAAATCTTTTAGCTTTAAGGCATGTCCACCAAATATGATAGTAAGTACTTGGTTTTTGTTTACATTTCCAACACTTATTAGACATATTTTTGAACATTTTTGCTAATCTCACCGGGGTTAAATGCCATCTATAAAACATTTCGTATAAGTTTTCTTTATAGATTGCTTTTGTTATTTTAGAGTTTCTTTCCCATAAGCTTTGCCAATTTTCTAATTCTATATTATATCCAAAGTTCTTTGCCCATATTGTTTCTTTTACTTGCTCCTCTTCCATCTTTAAGCTTAACAAATATTTGTAAAGTTTTTTTATCAGTTTTTCATCTGTTTTCAGCAATATCTGGTCAAATTCTGTCTGTTCTTTGTAAAACCCATTGTCTTAACATCTTTTTCACATCTCGTTTGAATTTGCAAATATGGCCACAGTGATAAATCAATACCCTGCTCTTCTAAGTCTTGTCTATATTTCAATTTCTCTTCATTGTCCAAAATATCTTTATAGGTCACAACTTTCTCATAAATAATCAAATTTGGATAAGCAAACGCTTCCATTGTTGAAAGCCATTCAGATATTTTAATATAAATTTTCGCTTTATAAAACCAAACCACTTTTCATGTTACCTTCTAGCTGTTTTTCTTCTAATGTAAAAAAAATAAAAATTCCCATGCAGATACTGGAAATCTGCTTCCAATCAATTGTTTGACTCTTCTTTTACCTTTTCCAGTCCATAATATTCTTCTCAAATAAAACAGCTTGTTCCAACTCTTGAAAACTGGAAAAACTAAGTCACTAATCTAAAAGTCTACACTCTGGTGTAAATCTATTATAATAAATGTTTGCCATTAAAATAAAGAAGATGTCCCTGCAAAGAAAAATCTAAAATCACTCTACTTCTGAAAAACAAGGTTTTTCCAAATACTGCAAAAATATTGACTTAAATTACTTAAATACATCAGTTACCGTTATTAAATTGAGAATATAATTCTTTTTTAAAATAAGTTTTATTAATTTTTTTCACCTTTTAACATCAAAGTGCTTGGGAAACAACGTGGAGATAGGGTAATCAGTTATCTGCAAAAAAGAAATTATAAATATACAACTCAAATTTAGCTCCTTAAACAGTTTCCTCTCTGTTTCTCTCAATTAGAATAATACAATCAAATTGATAAGCTTCTAGATAAAATTAAATCGATCAATAAAAATTTTCAATAACATTTTAAGTATATAAATCCAAATCCTGTTTTGAGCTTTACAATTTTCCAAATACCATATTCCAATTCAGCCTTAAATACACATATTGTTTATATTTTGGGTAGCCCTAATTTCCCTCATTAAAATAATTATAATATCTAAAAGTAAACTTATTATTCCCATAATTACCATCTCACATTTCTCCAATATATTTTATTGCTTATTCAATAACTCTTCATTTACTAATCACATGATTATCATATTTAAAAAGAAAAAAAAGGAAAAAGAAAAAAAAAGAAAAAAAAAAGATCTGTTACATCAAAGAATATATTAAAAAATCCAAATCCAAAGCCTTAAATCAATCCACTTTTCAGAAGCCTTTCCAACCCATACATATAAATTTAAATCTCATTTTTGGCGCCCGAACAGGGACTTGAATCCTGGACCCTATGGACATATAGTTAAAAGTCCATCTGAGCTCAGCTAAGAGTTTATATTATTAAACAAGATCAGGACACCAATTTAAATTCTTATAATCTAATCAGTAAAGAGTTTATATAAGTAAAACATGTATATAATTTCAGCTTAAATTCTAATAATACTTTTTTTTTTACTCAAAAACCAATTTCACTGCGTTCACTGTACTAACATTTATGTGCCTACAGTAGTGGCCAAAATTGTGGAAACCTTTTGGGAAAAGTGTATATTTGAGGTTTGATGGCTAATAACACCACTTTTTTTTGGAGTAGTACCATAAAATTATATATCAATGGAAAGATAATTTAATCAAGAATGTAATGCAATAAAGTTTGTTCAATTATCTGTACTATATTCTATGAAAAATATAGCCAAATAATCAGAAAAAGGAAGCACAACATGCTTAGGTTGATCTCAGGTAGCTTTCCTTCATCTGATTGTCGCCAATGAGCATGAGTGTTTAGAGTGTCAATCAGGTGTCATCTTATTTTGGCAATGAGCCAATCAGATCACAGTAGGATTCAGTGATTGGTGTCATGTTTGAAGCTGAGAGGACATGTGTCAGCGTGTTATGTGATCGCTATCAAGTTGGTTGGTTTTTTTGTGTTCATTCATTTAGCGAGCTTGTAAAACGTAATAAAATTAAAGTAATGCTGCAAAGAGTTGACTGGTCGCCCAGAAAGTGATGTAAAAGAGTATTATTAAGTGAACAAGGCTACCGTTATAAAGAAACTAGAAGAAAAATGGGTGGAAACTTAACCAAAGATGGCATTTCTACTGTACACTTTTCCCCAGAGGTTTCCACAATTTTGGCCACTACTGTAGCACTGCAGCCTTTAATCCATTTCCTAACACAACCAGCCCCCAAAGCGCTTCGAGATTATTACTAACTGAACAGCCTTTCCAAAAAGTAAGAAGAAATAAATGCTGAATTCTCCCAAATTTCCTTGGGAAGGGATCTGTAATGGCATTTAAAGATTTTTTCTCTTTCCTTTAACAAGTCGACTTCGTATCATAGAAGCATCCTGAAAACAGAACAGAAATAATGAGAAACGTCTTCCTGGTTCACCCATTGAGATGTAAGCAGGTTGAGTTGGTTGACCCTCAAATGTTTTAAAAAACGTTCCTTTAAAAACACAAAATTCTCCAAGTTCCGAACCTAATACAGCTAGTCCTCGACTTACAACAGTTCTTTTAGTGACCATTCAAAGTTACAACGGCATTGAAAACGAGTGATGACTGTTTTTCACACTTACGACCTGGATTTGTTTAACAAGAGCATCTGTCAGAACCATGACACCAGCCTCAGAGAAGAAGTACCCAAAACCAGACAATCTGAGCATCCAGTGATATGCTGGTATAAACTGCTTCGACTGAAACGGCATTCTTTACGTACTTCTGAACTTTGATTAAGAACGCCTTAGGTGAGAAGCCCAGGGCCAAACACTTTTGAACGTGGTCTCAAAAAAAAAAAAAAGGGGGGGGGGGAGTACTTACTTTCAGAGTGAACGATGAACCACCTAGAGCATACCTCCGCCTTGCAATCTCTTCAATTTCCTTCTCTATATTTTCCTGGCTGGTCCCTTTGATGTTGATATAGTAGCAATCACTACTAGCATAATGACAAGAAATAGCCTGCATTAAAAGAGAGAGGGAGAGGGAGACAGAGGGAGAGAGAAAGAGAGAGAGAGAGAGGGAGAAAGAGAGGAAGAGGAAGGGAAAGAAAGGGAGGGAGAGGGACAGAGGTAGAGAGAGGGGGGGAGAGAGAGGGAGTGGGAGGGAGAGGGAGAAAGGGAGTGGGAGAGAGGGAGAGGGAAAGAGGGAGGGAGGTGGGAGAGAGAAAAAGGGAGGGAAGGAGAGAGGGAGAGGAAGAGAGGGAGGGAGAGGGAGGGAGTGGGAGAGGGAAAGAGGGAAAGAGGGAGTGAGGTGGGAGAGAGGAAAAGGGAGGGAGCGAGAGGGGGAGAGAGAGAGGGAGGGAGGGAGAGGGAGAGGGAAGGAGAGAGACAAAGAGAAGTTATACCATTTTATTTAAACTATTTATTAAGTCCTAATAGGCCACGTTCCAAGTCTTATTAACCAAAACCATTAAGCAAGAGGACCAAATGTTCAGTTAACACAGTGGTTCTTAACCTTTTAGAACGAATCGCCCCCTTGAGCCAATGAGGAAGTTGTCATTGCCCCCCTCCCTCAATCAAAACATAAGAAATAATTCTTCAATTTATGCAAACACTTTTTTTGTTTTCTTTAAAACTGTCATCAGGACATATCAATGCAAATAATTTATTTCCAGTCTTTTTCCCATATCTCAACTGTTTGAAAAAATTTTGGTGCCACCCGTCACTTTATTCCCAAACTTCGTGATACATGTATTTCATTATTATCTTATTTATTCAAGACACTTAAATGTAATGACCACTGAAAACAAAATTCAATTGCAAGAAAGTGAAATGTCCGAAAAGAAAAACAGTAACATTTAATGATTGAATTACAAGTGAAATTTAAGATGCAAAAAGAAATATAAAAAGGGTAGAGGCTGCTGCGCAATGCGCATGAAGATAAGCGATGCGTATTCACATATGTACGGCGTTCTGTACTGAAGCGAGCTGGAGGAACCTTTGAAAACACAATTCAATCCACTAATAGCGAGCAATCTGATGTTTTTGTACGACAGATATGCAGCGATTCACTGTACGAAATAGTCTCAAAAGTGTCCCCAAAACTTCTCGCTCCATCGCCCCCTTGTCACCCCCTTTTTGTTCTTTTGCTCCTGCATCACTCCTTTTGGTTCCATCGCCCCCCTGAAAAACGAAATCGCCCCCTGGGGCGATATCGCCCAAGTTAAGAATCACTGAGTTAACATACAGAATGTCCTTGATTTGAATAAAGCAGGAAAGATCTCAAGAGCACCTGGACATCCAGGCTATGACCTGGATTACCTTTCGAAATCCTTCGGTCCTATTCCTTCCAGAACCGTGAATGATCAAGGGGTGGAAAAACACCGTGTCTCCTTTCTCCATGGGGAGGTAGACTCTGGGAAGACTCTTGTCATAATCGTGTATCCCATGGTACATCTTGTTGACACCATCCTGCAAAAAAAAAAAAAAAAAAAAACAATGTAGAAATTACTTTCTACTTTCTACTCCTGAGAGACACAAACAGGCCAAATTAAGGAGAATATTTGTAGCTCAGGCTTCAAATGAGGGGCTGGCGCTCTCTGAGCTTGGTTGTTTTCCTGCAGATGTTGCATTACCCAAATTAGATCTAGGTCAGTGGTTCTCAACCTTTTTAATGCCGCGACCCCCCCCCAACCGGTCATAAGTCGAGGACTACTCAACCGGTCGTAAGTCGAGGACTACTCAACTGGTGCAGCACCGTTTGCAGAATGGGACTTTTGGCGGGCTCAGCAGGGCAGAGACAGCCTGGACAATTCCTATTGGCTTTTGAAAGCCAATAGAATTAGACTCTATTCAAGAGAGTCTATTCTATTGGCTTTCAAAAGCCCATAGAATAAAAGGGAGTAGCACAGCTAAGGAAAAGGGGAAAAAAATGGCGGACTGCGTTGTTTGGCGACTCCCGTGAAATGGTCGTTCGACCCCAAATGGGGTCCCGACCCACAGGTTGAGAACCGCTGATCTAGGTTGTAAGTCCCTCTTTTTCAGGTCGATCACTAAGCGATTGCTCGTAAGTCCAGGACTGCCCGTACCCCAACTTTTTGGTGCCCATCATCTCCGTCCATTGGACCCGTGGATGCCTCTCCATCTGTTACCTTCCAATCCGGATACTTGTGCTCCTTCAGACAGCCCTTGTGAGACCCCGGCAACACAACCAAACATCCGTTTCTCCGATCCACCCTTTGCATTGCAGTCCAGGCACAAACAATTCGGTCGGCAGGACGGAAGGCGAAATAATGGAGATCCTGATGCAAAGGATGACGAGAGGTTTTCTTGCCTGGAAAAAAATAGAATTCCTTTTGTTTCAGAAATCAGGTTTAGCACTAATAAAGAAAAATAGTTGTAGCTCAGGGTTGACAGGAGGGGTCCTTGGGGCTCTCTCAGCTGGGTTGTTTTCTTGCAGACGTTTCATTGCCCAACTAGGGAACATCATCAGTGCCAGAAGGGAGTGGGGTTTGGGGGGAGGAAGAGGAGGAGGAGGAGGAGGAGGAGGAGGAGGAGGAAGACGGGAAGGAGAAAAAGGGGAGGAAGAGGAGGAGCAGGAGAAGGAAGAGGAGGAGAAAAAGGAGAGGAGGAGGAGGAGGAGGAGGAGGAGGAGGAAGAGGAGGAGAAAAAGGAGAGGAGGAGGAGGAGGAGGAGGAGGAGGAGGAAGAGGAGGACGGGAAGTAGAAAAAGGGGAGGAGGAGGAGGAGGTGGAGGAGGAGGAGGGAGAGGAGGACGGGAAAGAGAAAAAGGGGAGGAAGAGGAGGAGGAGCAGGAGAAGGAAGAGGAGGAGAAAAAGGAGAGGAGGAGGAGGAGGAAGAGGAGGACGGGAAGGAGAAAAAGGGGAGGAAGAAGAAGAGGAGGAGGAGGAGGAAGAGGAGGATGGGAAGGAGAAAAAGGGGAGGAAGAGGAGGAGGACGGAGGAGTCCTTGGTGCTCTCTGAGTTTTGTGGTTTCCTTGCAGACGTTTCATTGCCCAACTAGGGAACATCATCAGTGCCAGAAGGGAGTGGGGTTTGGGGGGAGGAGGAGGAGGAGGAGGAGGAGGAGGCGGACTGTGGGGTCCTTGGTGCTATCTGAGCTGGGTTGTTTTCTTGCAGATGTTTCATGACCCAACTAGGGAACATCATCAGTGCCAGAAGGGAGTGGGGTTTGGGGGGAGGAGGAGGACGGGAAGGAGAAAAAAGGGAGGAAGAGGAGGAGGAGGAGCAGCAGGAGGAGGAGGAGGACGGGAAGGAGAAAAAGGGGAAGAAGAGGAGGAGGAGGAGGAGGAGGAGGAGGAGGAGGAAGAGGAGGACGGGAAGGAGAAAAAGGGGAGGAGGAGGAGGAGGAGGAGGAGGAAGAGGAGGACGGGAAGGAGAAAAAGGGGAGGAAGAGGAGCAGGAGAAGGAAGAGGAGGAGAAAAAGGAGAGGAGGAGGAGGAGGAGGAGGAGGAAGAGGAGGATGGGAAGGAGAAAAAGGGGAGGAAGAGGAGGAGGAGGAGGAGGAGGAGGAGGAGGAGGAGGAGGAAGAGGAGGACGGGAAGGAGAAAAAGGGGAGGAGGAGGAGGAGGAGGAGGAGGAAGAGGAGGACGGGAAGGAGAAAAAGGGGAGGAAGAGGAGCAGGAGAAGGAAGAGGAGGAGAAAAAGGGGAGGAAGAAGAAGAGGAGGAGGAGGAGGAAGAGGAGGATGGGAAGGAGAAAAAGGGGAGGAAGAGGAGGAGGACGGAGGAGTCCTTGGTGCTCTCTGAGTTTTGTGGTTTCCTTGCAGACGTTTCATTACCCAACTAGGAAACATCATCAATGCCAGAAGGGCATGGGATTTGGGGGGAGGAGGAGGAGGAGGAGGAGGAGGAGCGTGGGGTCCTTGGTGGTCTCTGAGCTGCGTGGCTTTCTTGCAGACGTTTCATTACCCAACTAGGAAACATCATCAGTGTGAGACATCTAGAGCACTGATGATGTTACCTCGTTTGGGTAGCGAAACATCTGCAAGGAAATCACCAAACTCAGATTCCACCAAGGACCCCTCAGGGATTAACACTATATGCTAACATGGCAACTGAGGTCCAGGTAGTCCTTGACTTGCAGCCATTCATTTAGTGACGGGTCAAAGTTACAACGGGGGACTTAGGACTGGTTTTCCCACTTACTCTGTGGCAGCCTCCCCTCCTCCACGGTCATGTGATCCATATTTCAGCACTCAGCAACTCACAAGTACTTATGATGGTCGTAGTGTCTCTGGGTCACGTGATCCCCGTTTGTGACCTTCTGACAAGCAAAGTCAATGGGGGAAGCCAGGTTCACTTAACAACCGTGTCACTAACTTAACCACAGCCATGGTTCACTTAACAACTGTGCAAAGAAAGGTCGTAAAATGGGGCAAATCTCACTTAACACCTGCCTTGCTTAGCAACAGGAATTAGAATTATTATTAGAATTAGAATTATTATTAGAATTAGAATTAGAACAGAGTTGGAAGGGACCTTGGAGATCTTCTAGTCCAACCCCCTGCTCAGGCAGGAAACCCTACACCATTTCAGACAAATGGCTGTCCAGTCTCTTCTTTAAAACTTCCCAGTATTGGAGCATTCACCGCTTCTGGAGGCAGGTTGTTCCACTGGTTAATTGTTCCAACTGTCAGGAAGTTTCTCCTCAGTTCTAGGTTACTTCTCTCCTTGATTAGTTTCCATCCTTTGCTTCTTGTCCTGCCTTCAGGTGCTTTGGAAAATAGCTTGACTCCCTCTTCTTTGTGGCAGCCCCTGAGATACTGGAACACTGCTATCATGTCCCCCCTCGTCCTTCTCTTCATTAAACTAGACATATCCAATTTCAGGAACTGTTCCTTATATGCTTTAGCCTCCAGTCCCCTAATCATCTTTGTTGCTCTTCTCTGCACTCTTTCTAGAGTCTCAACATCTTTTTTACATCGTGGTGACCAAAACTGGACACAGGATTTCAAGTGTGGCCTTACCAAGGCCTTGTAAAGTGGTATTAATGCTTCAATGGTAATCATAACTCGAGGACTATCTATACATATTTCCTACTCCTTTCCTTGCTAGCTTTGGGCATTTAAAATCAATTTTATTTATGAGACTTATATACCGCTTTAAGTGCAAGCACTCTCTAAGCGGTGTACACCAGTAAGCAATGTATATATATATTTACATTGCCCCCAACAATCTGGATCCTCATTTTACCTACCCCAGAAGGATGGAAGGCTGAGTCAACACTGAGCATTTTAATGCTAATATTTATTATTTTCACATTGTTTTATCCAGCTTTCGCTTGTTTGTGAGACTCTTCTTGGTGAGATGGGCGGCATTTAAGTTTAATAAATACATATTTCTCTCTTGCAAAAAAAAAATAGAGAGAGAGAGAGAGAATTATTTATCTACTTTGGAATCAGCACTTCTTCTGGCCATTCATGTCAAAAAGGAAAAATATAGATTTTTTTTCCAAGCAGTAAAAGCTGCAATTCATATAAGCTAACAGAAGAAGGCCTGTCAGCTCTTTTTAAGTGTTTATTTAATTAGTAAGTCTTACCTGTATCTGGAGGTTTATTGATCAGCATGGTGTGCATAGCCATGATGTCGGGCCCCGTGAAGCATTCAACATATTTTACGATCTAAAGTTAAAAAAAAGTCCAGCTCAATAATGATAGATATTTAAACTGGGATGGGATGGGATGGGATGGGATGGGATGGGATAGAATAGCATAGCATAGCATGGCATGGCATGGCATGGCATGGCATGGCATAGCATAGCATAGCATAGCATAGCATAGCATAGCATTAGAATAGAATAGAATAGAATAGAATAGAATGACAGGTATACAGGTAGGCCTCAACTTACAACAGTTTGTTCAGTGACCATTCAAAGTTACAACGGCACTGAAAAAAGGGACTTTACAACATAAATTATGGTCATAAGTTGAGGACTACCTGCATTTAACTAATAGATGAGTTTCGAAAAGCAGCTGAAACATTATATATTTTTTCTCTTTTGTTAAATTTAAGCCACCAAAGTTAGCTCTTCATTATCTATGTTTCTGAAGTCAGGATAGCAGGACATCAATTTCGCAATAAACATACAAACAATAATTTTGCACATACAAATAATCTTGGGCGAAATCAGTCTTTTATGCCAAAATCCCATTTTTAGAATTGTTTGGGCAGGTGGTGGGGGGTGGCTGAAAAACACTGCAGCAGCCTGATTCTGGCATTTTAGAATGTAGATTTTATGCAAAGTTCATTGCAATTAAAACGATAACTTAAAAGACTTTTTTTTCCCCAGCCCTTCTTAGGAAAAAGAAATAAGTTTCGGCAAACGTTTTATGCTTTCAGAGAATTCCTGTTTTCACCTGAGGTAAGGTACAATATCTGAAGAGTTCTTCGTTCCACGTAAGATCCTGCAATTTTGAAACTGTATTCTCATTAGCAGCAGACTTGGCAATTGCGATATCTTTCATGATGGTTATCCCAGGTACCTCCACTTCCTTCCTGCATATCTTTACAAATTCCTCTCTGAAGACAAGGTTAAAGAAGACAACGGAAAGCGTTTTTAACTGGCATCAAGAACGCCTCTAAGCCAGTGTTCCTCAACCTTGACAATTTTAAGGCATGTGGACTTCAACTCCCAGAATTCCACAGCCAGCAATGGAAGAGAGAGAGAGAGAGAGAGAGAGAGAGAGAGAGAGAGAGAGAGAGAGAGAGAGAGAGAGAGAGAGACTTGCGCTTCTCTCTCTCATCAATAAGATGATTTTTACAAAAATAACATGTTGATAAGAAAAGAAAAATGTCACATATGGACACTACTATTGTTGGTATAAATATGGAAGAAAATGTTTATATTCAATCATTTATATATTGAAAATATCACATATCAAAAATTATATTTGTTGAATGCTGCAGAAGAAGAGCACTATTGGGAGAAAAGAAGATCAAGGAAATATATTATTAACTGATATACTAATTATGGAAATATAAAAATTAATTATTATTGACAGTTAATTAACTAGTATTGATTGTTTTTTTCAAAAAAGTTATGAACCAAGACAACACGCTGTACCCCAAGCACTAAGGATTGCTATTGTAAAAAATCAATAAAACTTTTACATATATATAAAGTATCTTCTTGCTTACTTATTTATTCGGTGTGCCACTGAAAGTTCTCATGCCACAATTATAATAATAATAAAAACCACACAGTAATACGATTAAAACTTCCCCGTAGAAATTACAAAAAGCAAATCATCCTCTTTGCACAACTCCAGATGAGCCAGTTAACAACTACCCTCTGGAGTTACAGATACTCAGATTGCAGTGAGTTATTTAATTAAGAACAATTCTCAGTTTGTTCAAAGGACACCAGTACTGATGGCTTCCAATTGACTTCTTAGAGCAAATTTGGCAAGTTTTAAGACTTGTGGACTTCAACTCCCAGAATTCCACGGCTAGCCATGCTGACTAGGGAATTCTGGGAGTGATAGTCCACAACTCCTAGAATTCTGGGAGTTGAAGCCCATAGGTTTTAAAGGAATTCTGGGAGTTGAAGTCCATAAGTGGCAAGTTTGGAGACCCCTGCCTTAAGAGCAATTCAAGGTGCTGGATTGAATGGTTTCAGCCAGGTGGGTTAAGGATACCCAAAGCGGTCAATATCTTCATCAGCCACCAGATTTTTGATGAGAAGATATCCATTGTCCTCATAAAAACGTCTTTGCTCTAGAGTTAGGATGCTATTATCCAAGGTATAACTGTGGAAACATGAAATATGTATTTTTAATTGATGTGGAATTAAAACTTGCAGCGTTGGGATAGCTTACAGAACCATAGAATAAATACAACCCCCCCAAAAAAGCCTTGAAAACTAAGACACATTAAATCCTAAAACAAGATCTTTAGATCAAAACACTGAAACATGAAACTGAGATCCTAAAAAGGACAAGGGAAATGATAAAGCAGGGGGGTCTTCAAACTTGGCCCTTTTATGACTTGTGGACTTCAACTCCCAGAATTCCTCAGCCAGTGTGCCACAAGTCCACAAGTCATAAAAGGGCCAAGCTTGAAGACCCCTGTGATAGAGGGAGAGCCACTATAGGTAGTCCTTGACCTACGACCAAAATTGAGCCCAGATTTTATGTTGCTAAGTGAGAAATTTGTTAAGTGGGTTTTGCCCCATTTTCTTACCACAGCTGTTAAGTGAATCACTGCAGGGGTTAAATTGGTTGTTAAGTGAATCCGGCTTCCCCCATTGACTTTGTTGTCGGAAGATCGCAAAAGGGGATCATATGATCCTGGGACACTGCCCCCGTCATACATGTGAGTCAGTTGTCAAGCGTCCAAATGTAAATCATGTGACTCTGGGGATGCTGCAACGGTCATAAGTGTGAAAAATGGTCCCCTTTTGTAACTTCAAACAGTCGTTAAATGAAGTGTTGTAAATCGCAGACTAGCTGTTAATTGCTTCTGTCTGAATCTTTGGCCATGTTTTCCAAACTGCAAAAACCTGCTTGCTCCGAAGAAGACGGTCCTGCATTCTTGGTATTAAGCTGCATTTGCCTTCTACAGCAGTGGCCAAAATTGTGGAAACCTTTTGGGAAAAGTGTACAGTAGAAATGCCACCTTTGGTTAAGTTTCCACCCATTTTTCTTCTAAATTCTTTATAACTGTAGCCTTGTTCACTTAACAATACTATTTTACATCGCTTTCTGGGCAACGAGTCAGCTCTTTGCACCATTGCTTTAATTTTATTACGTTTTACAAGCTCACTAAATGAAAGAACACAAAAACCCCCAACCAACTGGATAGGGGTCACATAACACACTGACAAACGTCTTCCTCTCAGCTTCAATACGTGACATCAATCACTGAATCCTACTGTGATCTGATTGGCTCATTACTAAAACAAGGTAACACCCGATTGGCTCTCTAAACACTCACGCTCATTGGCTACAATCAGGTGAAGGAAAGCTACCTGAGATCAATCTAAGCAAGTTGTGCTTCCTTTTCCTGGTTATTTGGCTATAACTTTTCATAGAATACAGTACAGATAATTGAACAAACTTTGTTGCATTACATTCTTGATTAAATTATCTTTTCATTGATATATAATTTTATGGTACTACTCCAAAAAAAAGTGGTGTTATTAGCCATCCAATCTCAAAAATACACTTTTCCCAAAAGGTTTCCACAATTTTGGCCACTACTGTAAATGTTACCGGGACGTTAAATGGCACCTTTTTCTCTGACAATGAGACATACAGTATTAAAAAAAAAAAAAAAAATGAAGCTGGATCAACCCTAACGCACTTACCAAACAGAAAGATCAGTTTAAGGTAAATAATTAACTTTACAAAACCAAAATGAAAACTGCTGAACCACACATAAACATATCGCTAAATACATGAAGGACTCCAAATTAAGCAGACCTTTAATTCTGTGTTTTCATCATCAGAGTAAAGTTCTACTTACCGGAACTGCGTTAGGCATGTCGCAGGAGCAACTTGGGCTGAAGTAGGAAATGGTGTCTTGGCGTCAAATTAAGAAAATTTTAAAAGACTGCTTTGGTGGAAGACCCCGTGGGAAATACATTCGCAAAGCATTTATAATCATGGAAGTTGCTCTCATAAAGGAGAAGGAAATTAAATACAGTATAGCATCTTCCCATTTAAATTGTTTTCCCCTTCCCTAAATTATCATATAGCTGGGACCAGTTTGAAATTTAAAAGCTGATGGATATAGAACAGTGGTTCTCCACCTGTGGGTCGGGACCCCATTTGGGGTTGAACGACCATTTCACGGGGGTCGCCAAACAACGCAGTCCGCCATTTTTTTCCCCCTTTTCCTTAGCTGTGCTACTCCCTTTTATTCTATTGGCTTTTGAAAGCCAATAGAATAGACTCTTGAATAGAGTCTAATTCTATTGGCTTTCAAAAGCCAATAGGAATTGTCCAGGCTGTCTCTGCCCTGCTGAGCCCGCCAAAAGTCCCATTCTGCAAACGGTGCTGCACCAGTTGAGTAGTCCTCGACTTACGACCGGTTGAGTAGTCCTCGACTTACGACTGGTTGGGGGTCGCGGCATTAAAAAGGTTGAGAACCACTGATATAGAAGGTGCTGAAAATGGTCCTTTTTTTTTTTGCTTAGGCAGAATATTTCCTTCCCACATAAGAAAATATAAAATAGAAACATCAAAGGAAGAAAGTAAACAACCGAGGGCGTTTAATGCACATTAACCTGAATTGGTTTGGGAGTTTAGTTTTAATTAAACATATTTCAGATCTCCTTCCCACTCTAAAGTTTCTCACCCATAGCATAGGAGGCCTTGGTCCTGACCTCCTTGCCCTGGAAGCTGCTCTCCCCTCAGACTAAACTTCAGAATTGGGATGCCCAGATAGGGACACCCCCACCCCCCTTTGGCCAGCCCAGAAGAAGTTGGCTTGATGCCTCTCCAGGCTGACAGCCAATCTAAGCCAGTGGTTCTCAACCTTTTTAATGCCGCGACCCCCCAACCGGTCGTAAGTCGAGGACTACTCAACCGGTCGTAAGTCGAGGACTACTCAACTGGTGCAGCACCGTTTGCAGAATGGGACTTTTGGCAGACTCAGCAAGGCAGAGACAGCCTGGACAATTCCTACTGGCTTTTGAAAGCCAATAGAATTAGACTCTATTCAAGAGAGTCTATTCTATTGGCTTTCAAAAGCCAATAGAATAAAAGGGAGTAGCACAGCTAAGGAAAAGGGGAAAAAAATGAGGGACTGCATTGTTTGGTGACCCCCGTGAAATGGTCGTTCGACCCCAAATGGGATCCCGACCCTCAGGTTGAGAACCACTGATCTAAGCAGATCAACCCTGTGCCGGGATGATGCCTAATCCTCTTCCACTGCTTGACCCCAAAGGAAGCCCAGACCGATGGACTTTGGGGTCCCTCACCAGGAAGGGGGGGGGTCAGAAAATCTTCCTTCAATAAAGGAGAATACTTGTAGCTCCAAGTTGGTTGTTTTCTTGCAGACGTTTCATTACCAAACTGGGGAACGTCACCAGTGCTAGAAAGAAACGCATACCCCTCCTAACACTGAAGAAGTTAACTAGTTTGGGTCATGAAATGTCTGCAAGAAAACCCTCAAGCTCAGAAAGCACCAAGGACCCCACAATCCTCTTCCTCTTCTCCACACGTCCCTCTCCCTTCGATCACTGAGGATGGTACCTAGTTGGGTAGTGAAAGGTCCGCAAGAAAAACACCAGAGAGCACCAAGGACCCCACTGTCCTCCCCGTCCTCCTCTCTCCCCCCCCCCCATACCTTCTAACACTGATGATGTTCCCTAGTTTGGGTAATGAAACGTCTGCAAGAAAATAACAAGCTCAGAGAGCGCCAAGGACCCCTCAGTCCTTCTCCAAACGGTTGAGCTTTCATCTCGACGCTGCCAGCTCCAAATCCTGGTTTGCCAATCCACGGAAGGTGCAAAGTACCGGGAAAGGCGCCCGGAAGGTGCAAAGTACCGGGAAAGGCGACCAAGAGGCCCAAGTGGGCAAGCGAAGGATACGAATCCGGCGTGGGGAACCAGGTGCCGGAGCAAAATCCCCAGCCGGAGGGGCGCGCTGGGTTGGTTCGCTAAGCTCTCCATGGCGCGTCCTCGGCGAGCAGCTAGCGAGCAAGCCAACCGGACGCTTCGACTCTTGGAGGCCGCTGGTCGGGCTAGGATGTAGTCGGGAAAAGGGGGCGGAGAAGGCAGGCGACCAGCCCAGCTGCTCCGGGAGGCGGCGACGGTGGCCAGGGGCGGCCCGCTCGGCAAAGACGCGCGATCGTTGCGCCCATCCCCGCGCGATCGCCCGGCTGGAAAGGAACAAAGCGATGTGAATTCGGAGCAAAGGGAGGCTTGGGCACGAAGTTCACTTGGGTTTCCAAGGTGCACCGTTTCCCTGAGCGGAGAATACGCGTTGTAGAAGGGACTTTTAGAAGAGTGTTGCATCTTATGATTGATGATGATTTGTCATTTCATCATCGTGATTTATCACTTGTTGCCTGTATGTACACTGAGAATTTCTGCACCTGAGTCAAATGCCTTGTGTATCCAATTACACTTGACCAATAAATTGTATTGTATTGTATTGTATTGTATTGTATTGTATTCTATTCTATTCTATTCTATTCTATTCTATTCTTATCCTATAGTCTAATCTAGTCTAGATCTAGTCCAGTGTTTCTCAACCTTGACAATTTTAAGGCATGTGGACTTCAACTCCCAGAATTCCACAGCCAGCATTGCTGGCTGTAGAATTCTGAGAGTTGAAGTCCACATGCCTTAAAATTGTCAAGGTTGAGAAACACTGATCTAGTCTAATCTAGAACTGAGGTTATGGATGCTTTTTGATGGCAGCCTTAGAGAGCTAGATATATTGTATCTCTATAACCGTCTTTCTCAATCTTGGCAATTTTAACGTGTGGACTTCAACTCCCAGAAGTCCCCAGGTAACAAAAGACAAACAGAGTGCATCCATGAATACCAACTAGCAATCAAAAGTCTCTTTAATTGCACACACATGGATAGACTTAACCATAGTTTCATCCACTGTTGTAGAAGGCAAATGCAGGACCGTCTTCTTCGGAACAAGCAGGTTTTTGCAGTTTAGAAAACACAGCCAAAGATTCAGACAGAAGCAATTGCAGCTAGTCTACGATTTACAGCAGTTCATTTAATGACCATTTGAAGTTACAATAGTGGCCAAAATTGTGGAAACCTTTTGGGAAAAGTGTACAGTAGAAATGCCACCTTTGGTTAAGTTTCCACCCATTTTTCTTCTAGTTAATTTATAACTGTAGTCTTGTTCACACACAAAAAAACCACCAATTTGATAGATCACATAACACACTGACAGATGTCCTCCTCTCAGCTTCAGTGACATAAATCACTGAATCCTACTGTGATCTGATGGGCTCATGGCCAAAACAAGATGACACCTGAACACTCTCTAAACATTCCTGCTCATTGGCTACAATCAGATGAAGGATAGCTACCTGATACCAACCTAAGCAAGTTGTGCTTCCTTTTTCTGGTTATTTGGCTATAACTTTTCATAGAATACAGATACTTGAACAAACTTTGTTGCATTACATTCTTGATTAAATTATCTTTCCATTGATATATAACGTTATGGTACTACTCCAAAGGAAAGTGGTGTTATTAGCCATCAAACCTCAAAAGTACACTTTTCCCAAAAGGTTTCCACAATTTTGGCCACTACTGCACAAAAAGGGACTGTTTTTCACACTTATGACCATTGCAGCAGCCCCAGGGTCACATGATTTACATTCAGATGCTTGATAACTGGCATTTATGACGATCGCAGTGTCCCAGGATCATGTGATCCCCTTTTGTGACTTTCTGACAAGCAAAGTCGGTGGGGAAGCTGGATTCACTTAACAACCAATTTAACCTCTGCAGTGATTGCCCAGAAAGCGATGTAAAATAGTATTATTAAGTGAACAAGGCTATAGTTATAAAGAAATTAGAAGAAAAATTGGTGGAAACTTAACCAAAAGTGGCATTTCTACTGTACATTTTTCCCAAAAACTTTCCACAAGTTGGGCTAACACTGTAAATATCCATCACCCAAGGAGTAATGATAATTTAAACATTGCAAATAAATGCTAAACAAATGCAACTCCCATGCTCTAAATGTAAATCATTTACCCAGGTCAGCTGGGTTTTATAAAACCTTTTCACTTTAGGCCTCTGCCGTGTGCAAAAAAAATTTTTTTTAACTTCTCAAGGGGGAAAAAAAAGATCTTGCAAAGTTGGAATTGAACTTTTTAGTCCCAACCAGTCTGCCATTACCACCGCAGCCACGCCCACCCAATGGGCCACGCCCACCCAGCACCCGATGATGCGTAAGTGGGTTTTGGGTTGCAGTTTGGGCACTCGGTCTCTAAAAGGTTTGCCATCACTGTCCTAATCAATCAGGTTACTTCCTGTAAAGCTGCATTAGGGAACCAATTTGTGATAAAATTTTGGGCTTTACTTGGTCCAATTACACAAACTTGTGGAGAACCAAATGAAATCTTAGGAGTTAGCAAAGGAATTTTGACCTCAAATACCCCAAAGTGTTTATAATCTGTACAGATGGTGTGTCACATTAATTTCTGATTTTCTGTTTTGTTCCAAAATCCATTTCTCATGGTGTGCCATTAAAGTTTACAGAAGATTCTGACTGCTAAGGAAAAGAATTTATTAGAAAACATAACACCACTTTTTACGATTAAAAAACACCAATACAAACTATTATGTGCACCAATACAAACTATTATTGTTTTAAGGGGTATTTTTAAAAGATGCCCAGAAACATGAAGGGAGTGGGTTGTATATAAATGTGGTAACTAAAATAACTACGCAGAACAAAGTGTTGCATTTTGCTGTCTCTGTTGCAACGTCTAGGAAAATCAAAAACCAAAGAATTATGTTGGAAGAAAATCCCTTGATATATTTTGGGTTTGATTAAGTCTTTCTGGAGAATAAATGACATTTTTCTCAATCAATAAATAAACCATTCAACTATAGAAGTCAGATTCAATTATCACTGAATTGATAATTTATTCCACTACATTTCCTGCAAAACACACAGAGACATTATACTTTTAAAAAATTGCTTGTATGAAATGGTTCTTTCTGGATAATTAAAAAAAAAGTACAGTGAAAAAAATAAGGTGACTTGAAGACTTGCATGCCAAATAATTCTGGCAAAATCTGCTCTTTATTTTTAACTGCGCACTGTACACTATAACGGAATTAGATTTTCTGCAGTTGAACCTGTCACCAAGGTTTTTGCCATATGGGATTCGCTAAAATTCATTTGCCACCCAGAAATTACTCAACAGCTACTGCTAATTATAAATCAAAGGATTTCTTGAGAGTAACACCGTTTGCCCATTATCTAAAGAATGTAAATGTACAGAGGAAGTTGATTATCAAGAGATTTAACAAGCCATCTAAACTATTCTGAGTCATTTTGCATTGATGGGGGGGGAGGTCCTTGATGCTCTCTTGAGCTTGTTTTCTTGCAAACATTAATGTAGTTGGTTTGTATGCTACATATGGTGGAAATATTGTTGTTTCCGAGATGTTTTCAATATATGGCAGCGTTATCCTTCTCACAACTTGTGTTGGTTGTATTGGTAATGGGTTGAGGGGTGAGGCACTTTTGATAAAAGTTGTGTGGGTATTTTGTGGAAGATGTTGATTAGTTGATCGGTTTCCTTTTCCTGACGTTGGGCTGTTGTAGTACACAACAGCCCTATCAAAGAATTGTCAAGAAGCAAACAACGCTCCTATAATAATAAAGTTGGAAGGGACCTTGGGAGGTCATCTAGTCCAACCCCCTGCCAGCATTGACGGGGCAAACCACTTCTATAAAAAAGACAGCAAACCCCACTCCCTTCTAGTTCTGCTGATGTTACCTAGTTGGGTAATTAAACGTCTGCAAGAAAATAGTTGAAGCTTAGACAGCACCAAGGTGCCCCCTCCCCCCCCCCAGTTCAACCCTGAGCTTCCAATATTCACTTCTATTTGTATTGATTTCCTACATGTAGGAATAGTACGAGTTTCAATAATTATGTATTCTCAAGAGGAGAAATACGAAATATGAACCGGAGTACATAGGAACTTTCCATATACATTGCTGATATTTTTCTAAATAGGGACGTCACACGTGAAACATTTCGTGTTTTAAAAATTATAAAATCACAATTTAAGGACAAGTACACAATGTGCAAGAGTGCATACTAAATTATTGCACACCAAAAAAAAAAAAAATTAAAAAGGTAAAATTCACCCAACGAAGAACACAAGTAGTTGTCTTCGCTCAGAAAGGTCTGTGGTATGTATGGGATCTTTCAGAATAAATAATTTATATATTTCAGATTGTTTTTAAGCGTAGCCATTCATTCTTTTAAAAACTATAAACACAAGGAAAGGTTCTTATTGCAAAGTTGCCTGTTAACAATTTTTTTTAAAAAAGACATTTTTATACAGAAAACCCAACCAGATTAGGATACAGGTATATGTGCAATTGTCAGCAGGAAGAGGTATTTATATGACCTGTTATGATGTTAGAATAGTCACATTTTACATTGTGATACTGGGAATTAAACACTATATTGCTTCAGATGCAAAATAAACCTTTTTAAATTTAGCGGTAGTTCATTTAAAGGTAACAACCCGATTTAAAAGCTTTGTTCTCACTTCCCAGTAGCTAAGGTATAAAAGTTAAAAAAGTCATCCACTTGCACCAGAGCAATAAAAAATTAAATATTTATTCAAATAATAAGCTTAAGTTCAGGCTGCAAAGTTGGCAACGTAGATTTTATACACAATCACAAAAGCGTGCACAAGAATGTATGTTGAACAGAAAACAAACAAAAAAAATACTAAGCATCTTACTAGACAGCTGCTGATTTTAAGAAAAGCAAAAAAATATATATGATAATCACTATACAAAATATAAAATGTATTAAACACTACCATCCACAGAACAGGGTTGTTTTTTTTTTAAAAAATGGTTATATTTTAAAAATTATTTGTGTAATTATATAGTGAATTGTAAATGATTACAGAATACCTTCCCGTCAGTTGGCAATATTTTTTTTCGCTCTGCAGCACAGCCCGTCCCGCTGAAAACTGATTTATACCATTTATACCATCCATAAAAAAGGAAATGGTTATCGGTAATACAAAGTAAACCTTGTCTGAGCTACAAAGAACAAAATTTACTCCTTCCTTCAAACTCTTGAGGTGCTCTCCGTAAAAAGGCAGCACTTGCGTGTCTCCGTTACTACCCAACTACCATTAAGTCCAAGGCCGCCGATTTTCACGGAGAAAGACTAAGTCGTATAAATGAAAAGACAGAACATAGGTAGACATGTCAACCCTCTTTGCTTCTTCCGGGTTAAGCTCCATGTGCATTATCAAAATTTATTGCCTTTTGGAATTTCATTCAAGGCATCCGAAATTAGAGCTAATGATAAATATACATATAGCAAAAAAAAAAATATTAAAATTAAAATTGTTTAAAAAAAAAAGATACAAACTGCATTGGATACCACTGTCGGCAATGCCTTGCGCTACGTGAAAGCACCTTTTTAAAAAGAGCCCGTGCGGCGAGAGATAAGTGTCTAAAGATTCAAAATGAATCAACAGTATTGGATAACAATATAATTCTCAACTCAGAAGCTGCCTCCAGGTTAGATGCCTCTTCAGTTCATGTAACAGGAAAGGGAGGGAAAAAAGGGGGGGAGAAGGCAAGGGGTTAAATTCATTCGCTTCAACCGACCTAAGGCCACCAGTTTTGCAGACACAACGTGTTTCTTCTCTTTAATACAGTTCTTTAGGCTGTAAAGATGATAAAGGAAATAGATCTATTTTAAAAAAAAAAACAAAAAGGAAAAAAATAAACTATTTCATCTAGGATTAAGAAGCTGCCCCGGGCGTCGGGTTTACGTTCTGAGTGGCTACTTGGGGCGCGACTTCGATGATTCGAGGTTTGTCTATAATTCTGGCGGTGCGGTTTCCCTTTTCTACAATCCCAATAATCCATGCTTGATGACCTTCGCCATATTTGGGAGACTTGATCTCAGCGCAGAAGCGTGCTGCTTGTTCACGGGGCAAGCAGATAAGGAGGCCGCCTGCAAGGGAAGAAGGAAGGGCATTAGCGCTTGTGTAACAAATCAAAGTTGCTACCTTGCTTGCTCAGACTTTTAACTGTTACCTACTGGTTAAACTTATTCCACAGGGGCAGAAATTAGGACGGTGCATTTCTTCCTGCCTCAATCCAAACAACTGTTTCCAAGACAGTTTGCACAAACTCTTTGCACCTGGATTTCAGCCCAGCCTTTTGCACAATATTCTCCTTAACAAAACAACAAGCGCTTGAGTGAAATGCTCCTTTCAGATGGGTCCACGGGGCAAACAGCCATATCCAAGAGAACTCTTTTTAACAGCTTCACTGCAGCCTGGAGACAAATTCCGAATGGTGCAATTCCAACCTATTTTATCAGTGGCTTGGATCAGGTCTGCAGATGACACAAAGCTGGGAGAAATGGCTGATATTTTGCAGGAGAAGACAGGGAATTAAAAAAAAAAAAATCTAGACAAGGCCTTTAGGTAGCGAGATGAAAAGCAGGGGATGAAAGGGAACAGGGAAAAATATAAAGTGAGCCAGTAGGTCAAAGTAGCTGGCAAAAAGGCAAATGCTGCACTGGGATGGATTAATACACCATAAAGTCCAAATCATTTTAAACAATTGCTTCATTCTATTTCTCCCTGATCAAATCCTATTTGCAGTACTAAATTGGGCTCTGTGCGTTAACAGTTTGAAAAGGACAGTGACAAATTGGAGAACATCTTGAGGAAAGTCACTAAGTTGAGTGGTATGGAATCCAAACCCCTTCAGAAAGGTAGGTAGAAAACTGCCTATGGTATATTTTAATGCCAATTACTCGTAACAGAGGGATAATAGACACAGGATCACGTGAAGTGTTAATACCACTTTATAAGGCCTTGGTAAGGCCACACTTGGAATCCTGCAATCAGTTTTGGTCACCATGATGTAAAAAAGATGTTGAGACTCTAGAACAGGGTTGTCAAACTGCCGGCCCACGGGCCGGACGCGTCACCAGGAAACTGCGCCTACCCCATTGCCGGCAATGGGGAAAAAGCTCCGATATGTTGCGTGACGTCGTGAGTTTGACATGTCTGCTCTAGAAAGAATGCAGAGAAGAGCAACAAAGATGATCAGGGGACTGGAGACTAAAACATACAAGGAACGGTTGCTGGAATTGGGTATGTCTAGTTTAAGGACTAGGGGGTGACATGATAGCAGTGTTCCATTATCTCAGGTTGTGCCACTAAGAAGAGGGAGTCAAGCTATTCTCCAAAGCGCCTGAAGGCAGGACAAGAAGTAACGGCTGGAAACTAACCAAAAGAGAAAAGCAACTTAGAACTAAGGAGAAACTTCCTGACAGTGAGAGCAATTAACCAGTGGAACAACCTGCTTCCAGAAGCTGTGAATGCTCCAACACTGGAAGTTTTTAAAAAGCGACTGGACAGCCATTTGTCTGAAATGGTGTAGAGTTTCCTGCCTGAGCAGGGTGTTGGACTAGATGACCTCCAAGGTCCCTTCCAAGTTGATTATTATTATTATTTCATTATTATTATTGCTGTTGTTATTAAATTTAATGCAATTTAAATTTATAATTTAAATATTTAATGGCAATGCCTATTCATCCAATAAGCACCCAATTCAAAGGAATATAAACTATCATTGATCGTTCTGAAGTGTGGACAATTAACTATTACAGCTTAAAATGCAAAGAGATTGAAATACGCAGTCTGAGAAAAGGCAACAAACAACTAGGAATGTGTTTCGCACAGCAGAATTTCCGACTTGCACAACATTACTTCTCATGTGTACACAGCCAAGTCCACATCTATGAAACGTGAATTTCTTCAGCACAGGTTTCCAATACAGTCTAGCTCAGGGGTTCTCAACCTTGGCAACTTTAAGACTTGTGGACTTCAACTCCCAGAATTCCTCAGCCAGCTTGCTGGCTGAGGAATTCTGGGAGTTGAAGTCCACAAGTCTTAAAGTTGCCAAGGTTGAGAACCCCTGGTCTAGCTGTTATCTGGAGAAAGAGCGCCATCCACTGGCCATTTATGCAAATCTCTAAGGAGCCTTTTTTTTTTTTTAGTTTTCTATTTCTAACAGGACAAAGGGGCTTGAGCATAGTACCTTCCACTATGAAAATTCAGTTGATCTGAAAGGTGATTATTTTTATCCCGTAAGAAATATTTTTCACGCAACGGAGAACAACAAATCGGCTTTGCTATGTAAATTTGATTAATAAATATTAAATTCTAGCATTGGAATAAACAAGAGTGGCCAGGAACGAAATTGCTGTGAGTTTGATAAGGAAGCACTGATTATTATTCCATCTGGTAGGAATCACAGGCTGAACTATACACACAAAAGGCACTGGAAGCTCTGACATTTCACTGGCATTCTGGATGGCGTACGATTGGTTTTTATGCATTTATTTTTATGTCATCCCCAGTATCAATTGTGAGAATTATTTGCAAAGAAAATCTGGACATTTTTTAAAAACCTTTTTATCACCAAACAGATGACCTAGGACTGTGGTGGCGAACCTATGGCACGGGTGCCAGAGGCTGCACTTGGAGCCCTCTCTGTGGGCACGCGCGCCCTCACCCCAGTCCTAGGCCTTCAGCTGGGTTTTATAAAACCTTTTAACTTTAGGCCTCTGCTGCCGTGTATTAAAAAAAAAAAGGTTCGATCAGTCAATTTCAACTTCTTGCGGGAAAAAAAAGATCTTGCAAAGTTGGAATTGAACTTTTTAGTCCCACCCAGTCTGCCGTTACCACCGCAGCCATGCCCACCCAATGGGCCACACCCACCCGGCACCCGATGATACATAAGTGGGTTTTGGGTTGCAGTTTGGGCACTCGGTCTCTGAAAGGTTCGCCATCACTGGCCTAGGAGTCATGCTCACATTTCTTTAATGTATGGTAGGTTCTCTTATTTTAGTTGCATAGATACATTGAGGTCTCTGCCCAGACTTTTGCTATTGAACCAATATGCCAAGGAAGTGAAACCCACATGGTGACAGAATGAGGAGTGCTTTTCTTTGTTAGCTCCTAGACATTTTATTCCTTTTCATCTTTGACCATATTTAGGAAGCTACAAAGCACCCTATGAGGGCTGGCATGGCTGTGCATTCTGAAGAGGGACTGTTGGGGCAGCTGATATGATGGCTGGAATTGCCATGGGTGCTATCTATTTCAAGGAGAGGTGTGATCTCCCCAGGGTCTGCATCTAGCGAGGAGAGAGTGGAGTCCTAGTAGACAATCATTTAAATAGGAGCCGGCCGTGTGCTGCAGCTGCCAAAAAGGCCAACACAGTGCTAGGCTGCATTAACAGAGGGATAGAATGAAGATCACGTGAAGTGTTAATACCACTTTACAATGCCTTGGTAAGGCCACACTTGGAATACTGCATCCAGTTTTGGTCACCACGATGTAAAAAAGATGTTGAGACTCTAGAAAGAGTACAGAGAAGAGCAACAAAGATGATTAGGGGACTGGAGGTTAAAACATATAAGGAACGGTTGCTGGAATTGGGTATGTCTAGTTTAATGAAGAGAAGGACGAGGGGGGACAGGATAGCATGTTCCAATATCTCAGGGGCTGCCCCAAAGAAGAGGGAGTCAAGCTATTCTCCAAAGCGCCTGAAGGCAGGACAAGAAGCAATGGTGGAAACTAACCAAAGAGAGAAGCAACCTAGAACTAAGGAGAAACTTCCTGACAGTTAGACAATTAACCAGTGGAACAACCTGCCTCCAGAAGCGGTGAATGTGCCAACACTGGGAAGTTTTTAAGAAGAAACTGGACAGCCATTTGTCCAAAATGGTATAGGGTTTCCTGCCTGAGCAGGGGGTTGGACTAGATGACCTCCAAGGTCCCTTCCAACTTTATCATTATTATTATTATAGATCAATTTCCTATTGTGGAAGATGAGACAGCCGATTCATACTCTTCTCCAAAAGAGGACTGGGTTCCTGTTGGAGAGAGATTAAGGGCCAGTGTTGCAGACATTATTATTATTAGACCACGCTGGGGAATTCTGGGAGTTGAAGTCCACCCAGCTAAGGTTGAGAAATCTGGTGTAGTGGAAAGGAGGGTGAGAAAATGACTGATTTTTTTTGTAAATTCTTTTACCTGAGGTCTCTGGACAAGTCCCATGCATAAGACCGAACATATTCCCACAAGCTTTGCTAACTGCGGCCATTTTGGCAAGGACAGGGAGATTATGGATAACGAAAGACACTTCGTTACGTTGCTGCTTGGCTAGATTCTGTGCATGTCCCAGGATTCCAAAGCCTGTGATGTCCGTGGCTGCGTGAGCATTGAACGTATGCATCAGCCCTGCAGCTTGAGAGGAGAAAGAGAGAAAAAGGTTATTATGCAATGTCAGAACTCAGCCCAACTCTCAGTATTAAATCAGAGTTTATATTTCCGGGTCCCTTGAAATAAAATTAACTAGAATAAAATAAAAGTTAAACTTCTTCAGGAGGGAAAAAAAAATTAATACATTCCTGCATATGGACGATCCATTCCTGATCTCTTTCGGTAAAATCATTTGGAAACACCGTCCCATCTCAGAAGATTTATAGATTAAAAAAAAAAAAATTTCCAGTTGCAGTTAAGAGTGGGATATCCCTGAATTTTCTGAAAATGCATGGTCAAAATGTTTCCCCCCCCCAATGTTTATTCACAATTGCAACATGAATAGTTGCATTTTCTTCTTCAGAAAAAAATTATGACCATGCCTGATATATAAACGGTTTGCTTCTATAATAAGAGACAATATGAGAAAACTGTGTGTGAGTGTGTGTGAGAGGGGGAGAGAGAGAGAGAGAGAGAGAGAGGAAAGAGAGAGAAAGAGGAAAGAGAGGGGGAGAGAGAGGAAAGAGAGAGAGAGAGGGAGGGAGAGAGAGAGAGAGAGAGAAAGAGAGAGAGAGAGAGCTGCTTAAATAAGCCCATGCAGTTTTCTTAGCAACATTTTTAGAAGAGGCTTGCATTGCTTCTTCCTAACCTGAAAGTGACTGACCTTAAGGCATACAATAGGAAAGCAGGACTAGAACTCACATCCTCCAGGTTTCTAGTCCTGATACCTTTATCGCTGCATCAAACTGTCTTTCTTTTATAGCTAGAAACATAGTACAACATTCTAAATGGCCATGTTAACCATGCCACTGTCTAGCCATCTAAACAGATGTGTATAGTGTAGACCCGTTTCCTGACTCCCTCCTGCCCTGGTCACTGACCAAAATAAACTAGCCGTTCTTACCTGTTCTGTTCAGTCTTGCCATATTCATCATTGCTTCTTGATAGGCGAGTTCCACATCTTCCTGTGTCACAACCAACTTGATTTTATTCCATTTTTCTGGCTAAGGCACAGAAGGAAAGAAAAAGGTTACATGTGGCTACATTGTTTCATTTTACTGTTTTATAATGTTACCTCTTGTCCTTTCCTGATTAACTTTAGGATGGAATTTGACACTTCGTATTAGCAGCAGGCCAGCAGGATCCTTTCCTGAATACTCAAGATTTATTTCTATCAATCTACATGTGCAGCTAATGTCCCCCTTCCAGAAAAAACCCACTTCTTAGTTTACATTATATCTGATTAAGCATTAAGGGCCAATTCACCCAACCTAAAGAAACCCTTTGAAGTGCTTCCTATTCCATTTTGATTTTCATTATCTGAGCAGTCTAAGGTCCTATGCTTATTTACTCAGTGACAGATCCCATGGAGCACATGCAACGTGACTTAAGTGCAAGTTACCAATATGTATCAAGCAACGTTTTTAAATGGTTTGTTATGCAGCACTATGTAAATTTCAGTAATATAGAATTATTACTATAAGCAGGAAACCTCAATGAACAATGAATCACAAGAAGGGTTCAATGTCTGCAGAAATGCTTAATAGGAACACGACGACTCTATCAGTGCTATCAAACTACCCAAACGCATCTCAAAAAGGAGATCCTGTAAAGAACTGGAATCTGGACAGTTCAATCTTCCTCTTGAAGAATCCGAGTTTCCAAAGCACAGCGACAGTAGATGGAGATCCAAACGGCACAATCCAGCCCCCCCCCTCCAATTTCTCGATTTTGATGGGACAGCCTGAAGGAAAACTCTGAACCGACGGTGCATGGTCCCTCACAACTGAAAACACTGCAACAACTTAACCACCAATGGTTGGAAACGGATCAAGGAGAGAAGCAACCTGGAATTAAGGAGAAACTTCCTAACAGTGAGGACAATTAACCGGTGGAGCAGCTTGCCCCCAGAAATCGTGGACGCTCCATCACTGGAGGTTTTTAAGAAGAGACTAGACAGTCACTTGTCTGAGATGGTAGAGGTTCTCCTGCTTGAGCGGGGGGCTGGACTAGAAGACCTCCAAGGTCCCTTCCATCTCCTATTCTATTCCATTCTATTCTATTCTATTCTATTCTATTCTATTCTATTCTATTCTATATTCTATTCTATTCTATATTCTATTCTGTTCTATATTCTATTCTATTCTGTTCTATATTCTATTCTATTCTATATTTTATTCTATTCAAGATTCTAGTCAACGTTCTTTTCTATTCTATTCTATTCTATTCTATTCTATTCTATTCTATTCTATTCTATATTCCATTCCATTCCCTATCAAGAGAAGACCTTTATCTCCATACTTCCAAATGTCTGACGTAGCCCTCAAGGTGGGGAAATCTAATTATTGGGCGATTCCTTGGACTGCCTCCTAATGCCTCTTCCTCATATAGTAAGACAGTGAGCCAACCACCATTCTCCCGGGATCTTCCCAAGGAAAGACCTCGAGGAGAAAAGAATATCCAAAGGGATCCATCCGAGAGTGGCTCTGCCTTAATGCCAAAGCAGGAAACGTGCAATCTTCCAGAATGGTTAAAAATCCAGCTGAGGTCACAGTCAACAGTGAGGATGGATGGGAATGGCAGTCCATTGTCCATGTGTTATCCACGATTGAGTTCATGGAAGACCTTTCTACTCAAGCCATTGGGGAAGCAATCCTTTCTACGTGTTGTACTTACTCTACTCTGAAAAGCCCCTAGAGACCAGCAGCAGTTTTGAAGGGGGCCTTAAGTGGGCAAGAGAAAATGAATAAAAACTGGCGGTTCCCCCTTACATAAACAGCAGCAAGCCTGCTAGGTGCTTAGTATGTTAGGGTAGGATGGACACACCAAGTAACTATTTTTCTGTGAAGTAGCAGTTCAGCGCATTTTTCGGAGAAATGTCCGTTAAGCCAACTTAAATTTCCTTTAGAAGCTTTGCATATATATAGTTATGTTTATATATGTATATTGCAACATTGATTTTAACATCTTTGCCTTTCCTTGAGAAAGGTAGCAGAATGAAAAACTGGCCTACACAATCACAACATCTCCTCTGCTTATAGATTTAGGTTTTCTTTCTCTGCTAAATGTTGGCTGGAGGAAGACCAAAGAGAGCTAGCAGCACCTAGAACAGTGGTTCTCAACCTGTGGGTCGGGACCCCATTTGGGGTCGAACGACCATTTCATGGGGGTCGCCAAACAACGCAGTCCGCCATTTTCCCCCTTTTCCTTCGCTGTGCTACTCCCTCTTATTCTATTGGCTTTTGAAAGCCAATAGAATAGACTCTCTTGAATAGAGTCTAATTCTATTGGATTTCCAAAGCCAATAGGAATTGTCCAGGCTGTCTCTGCCCTGCTGAGCCCGCCAAAAGTCCCATTCTGCAAACGGTGCTGCACCAGTTGAGTAGTCCTCGACTTACGACCGGTTGAGTAGTCCTTGACTTACGACCGGTTGGGGGGGGTCGCAGCATTAAAAAGGTTGAGGACCACTGACCTAGAACATAGTTTCAGAATGTACTTTATTTTCAATGACCCAACACGTGTTCTAAGGGTAAGCCAGAAAAACAGGCTTATCTTATGGCTTTTGTACACTTCCTCTTCTTCACTAAATTTTGCCTCAAGTACAACAAAAAGTGCTTTTGTGAAACAGACTTCTATACAGACACCCTTTGTCCATGTGCATCAAGAAATTTGTTTTTACAATGACAACTTTCCATACACAGAGAGCTAACCCAAGGTCATCTCCAGATAGCTGATGTATGTGACAGGAAGATAAGCCAAAATAAGAAGAGGTTGGTATTAAATAGATTTAATCTAGTTTGCTCAAAGTTTGGCATAGCTTAGCCACAGATAGGGTCTGCCCCTTTATCAAGTTTATATTTAAAGTGATTTACTTACGATGTCTAACCACTGATGGACAGCTACAGCTACTTGTGTTCCCAATGGTTTGGTTAACACCAGCACATCTCCAGGTACTGCATTATCTGGCCTAAAAGTAATGAACATACATTTTTTTTATTATTATTATACATTTTTGCAGTTTTACAATAAAAACCCTCTCCCAATCCCTCCCAACCCTCCCCAGAACCCCCCCCTTCTTCCCAGAGCTGAATACAGAGTTAACTAGAACTAAAAAAAAAGAACATTTAAACTTAAACAAACCTCAAACAAATAGTTACATTCAGAAAACAAATTTTTGAATACTTTAACTCCAATATGTATAAAAAACAGAAAAAGAAGAAAATAATAAAAAAAGGAAAAACAAAACAAATCTACACTTCTAAACAGTATCTTGAACTTTAAATATAAATTATTCAAAAGCTAAATAATATTTTCTAATATCATATTTGTGCTGTATAAAATTTATCCATTTTTTCCACACCAAGAGATACTTCTCTTGTGATTGATCTTTCAAAAAAGCCGAAATTTTTGCCATTTCAGATAGATAAGAAACTTTAAAAAACCATTCCTGCAAAGTAGGCAAAAATTCCTTCTTCCAATATTGTCCCATATATTTTTAAAAAGCTCATATGCCGTCATTATTTTTCAGTTAATTTTTCTCCAAAGTTTATTTGATAAATAAAAGATCTTATTTTTGTAATTAAAAACAGAATGAATACAACCGAAAAAGAGTAGTTACCATAAGTTATTTTAAATTACATTTTTTTTCATGTATCCCCAGATAATCATCAAGGCTGACAAATATATAATGAAGATTATCGATGGATCGTATTGGAGTCACATTTAATGCTAACACAATAATTTTGCCTTAAAAGGAAATTGTTTGTCTGCTACTTCTATATATAAAAAAAAAAACTTTCTGGATAAGTTTTTGTTGCCTTTATTTTAGACATTGAAAATAAGACAGATTTTCAGAGCCTGGATATTTAACAGCTGGAATCATGAAGTGATTTACACTCACACTGTTCTTCCAATTTGGATGAAATAGACCAGCTTCCTATATGGTGCTCATCAGTGAAAACATAAAAGCTCAACGTAACCACAATAAGGGCATTTGTTGAGCTGCTATTATACTGAATGTTCTGTTGTGCAGGCTCTGAGGTGTTGCTTGATAAAAAAAAGTACAGGAAACCAGAAATTGTCTTTAAGCTTTATGTTTTTATTCAGCTGAATAAAGACGGGCTCCTCTAAAAGAGAGAAGCCCCAAATGATAAGAAATCCTTGTATTTATTCTTTCTGATTACATAAGCAATCCACCCAGCAAAGCTGACACACATAAGATAAAGATTTCACCCAGTAAGTCTGGCACATTGTAGATAAGAAGGGAGAAAGCAGAAGTAGCTAAAAATGTTCCCTTTTGGGTGTTTCCCGAAAGACATCGTAACACGGGTGGGTTAGGACACTGGGTGTTTTCCTTGCTGTCCTTTCATGACTCTGCATCCAGGACTCTGCAAGTGCCCAAAGACAGCAGGACCATCTGCACATATTCACAATTGATGCTTCCTATGCTGTCCCCTAATTCCGGGTCAACAGTTCAAGTATCATTGAAGCTGTAATGTGATCTTTTTTGTTTTCTTTACAGCATTATTTTAATCCAAAGACTGAATCACCAAAAGTCGATTATTTGGCATCTTGGGTGAGCCTGTCCAAGCTTAACTTTTGAAATAAAACACAATTAAGCCAACTGCGGCTTTGCAAGATGAACCCTCTTAATAAAATTGCAAAGCTTCACCAGAAAAAAACATGCGTGGTTATCAATCCCTGCAGTCCTGAGCCAATAATAACAAGCATTTAATTTCCCTGCAGTTAGCAACACACAAAGGTAACAATTCAGAATTTTAGAAGCAGCTACCTCTTTTAATATTTCAGCACCTTTTTCCTTGGCACAAAACGCTCCAACTTACATTATAAACTCATTAGGCTGACAGACAGTCGTGGCCACTCCTCCTAAAACAATCCAAGGGTTTAATACTGATTGACCGCCGGTCACCGATGTTCCTGCCTCTTCTGCAGCATCTTTAAATCCTTGGATAATTAGAGGCATGATTTTATCTCTTTCCTTCAGAGAAAACAAAACAAAACCCAAATGGGGAAAAAAAAAATCAATTGCCCAGTCAAGCATCTACCGAATACATTAAGAGCTTACAGGAATTTCGTATTTCAATCACTACTAAAAAGTTGAATCATCCTCTCACAGCTGCTTAAACACATATAAAAACAAGTTTACTAACTGAAACTTAAGACTTCTCTGTACCCCAGTAAAGTTAAAAGAGCTGGATATCGATAGGTTCCACTCAAAAGGCTGGATGAGACCAATTCTCACAAATTAAATGAGAACAGCCAAGTTTGGCAAATTTTTCTTTAAAGCAGTGCCCCCAACCTTTTGGGCACCAGGGACCCCTTCCGTGGAGGGTGGTTTTCCCACAGACCGTGTGGGTGGGTGTGGCTTCATGTGCTGGCTGGATCCTGCATGTGTGTGGATGGGGCTTCGCTCGCTTGCGCGGCCAGTTGCTGGCGGGCCGTGGATCGGTGCTGGTGTGTGGCCCGGGGTTAGGTACCCCTGCAGTAAAGCACCTCACTGGGTTTCCAAAACATTCAGCAGTTTGGAGAAACATTCTATTTGGAAAGTGCAAGGGAAGCTGGCAAAAATGTGCAGCAGCCCTTTTATTTTATTTCAGCTGGATTGAAGCTAGTTCTCCGTGATTTGTTCATACAACTGTGAGGCTACGAACAAGCAAACCATATTCTGCCTTAGAGAGCTAACCACAGTAGAGTTGTAAATGATGTGTTCTCCTTAGAGAGCTTGTGCAGCCAAACATGGTAAAAATGCATGGTGGCTTACTGAAGTGTTTGACTCCCACTTCCCGTTGCAACTTTCTAACGTGAAATGTTAGATGAAGATGAGATGAGCTGTTCTCTCCGTCACTCAATTATTTAAACTTTCTTGTGCAACTGCCTCCCAAATTCCGCGAGGAAACATGGAAATCTTTTTTTGTTTAATTCAGATCTAGAACATTATACGTTGTCATAAAATAATGAGCATCAGAATAAATGCCCGTTCAATGTATTTTATTACCAGTTCTGAAATGGATAGAATGAATTGTTAAAATTACGAGGGTTTGCTTTTTGCCTTTCATGATTTTGAATTGTTTGAATGTAATAATCACACCAGAATCTGTATTTTTAGGGATTTTCAGTATTTGCAAGGACTGTAATATAATAAGCAAGAGCAACTGCTAATCAAAAAGAGCAGAGGTGGACAATTGGCAGATTTAGGGTTATAGATGCTTGAAATATCATTTACTTTTTTTTTAAATAAATTTTATTTAAAATACAATTAAAAAACATTGGATGTAACGTGACATTCCAGTATATACATTCTTACCAAATTGTTCCACATTTTACAATCAATTCTTCATCTCTAATTATACACCTAAGTTTTATATATAGTACTTATTCTAAAATAACATATATTTCTATCTTAATGTTAACCTTTAATCCCAACCGTCCTCCTTGAATCCCTCCAGTGGTAAAATTTATCCCAGGTTTCAAAATAAACTGATCCACATTTGTCTTTCAATTCCATTGTGAGCCTGTCCATTTCCGCACATGCTAATATTTTATATAATGACTCTTCCTCTGTAGGAATTTCTTTGCTCTTCCATTTTTGCGCAAATGCAAGCCGTCAAGATGTGTAACAGCAAACAGAATGTTCCCTTAATGTACTTTTCTGTAGTTATTCCCAACAAGAATAGTTCAGGTTTTAACTCTAAGTCCAATATTAATATATCCTTCAGCCAACTTCGTATCCTATTCCAATACTCACGAGCCTTTGGGCATTCCCACCACAGAAATATCATTTACTTTTTATTGTGCAGATTAATGTTAATGTATAGGTACACTGAGTATTATATTAGCATTTCTTGTCATCACAATTTAAGGAACTTACCCTATCTGTCATTTTATTACTGATGCCAAGAAGCATCAACATATTGTCACATTCGGTAACTCCCATGGCGTAAAGATCACTAAGGACATTGGCACAGGCGATGCGTCCCTGGAAAAAGCAACACAAACAATTCTCATTGAACTGTTATTTTAATGCTCAACCTGCTTTCTAAGACAACCTTAAAAAGAGACTGAAATCTGAGGTGGTAGATGGAAGAAGCAAGGGTAATGAATAATAATAAAAAAAAGTAACAGGATTGTTATTACTGTTGCATTTAGCTGTTTTGTATACTGAGCAGACCAAGCATGACACCAATTTGTTTACTTACTGGGATGGAAAACAGTTTTGACCATTAAAGCAATCTTAAACGGAACCAACCAGAAAACCAACAAACCTTGAAAAACAATGTATGTAAAAAAAAAATGTTTTATTTCAAACAAAAACAATGCATCACAGGAACGTGCAAAGCATTTGGGGATAAAAATGATCTAATTCGCTCTGGCAGCTTTGTTTTCTCAGACTTAGAAAGCTCACAATGGTTGCTTCACAGGCTTTCTCAAGTAGCGTGTAAGTTCACTGCACATATGATATTTCTTCTGGCAAAGCAATGCTGGCTGTGGAATTCTGGGAGTTGAAGTCCACATGTCTTAAAATTGTCAAAGTTGAGAAACACTGGACTTTAAACTAATATCCATTGCTAAAAAAATCCTCTGAATATTTTGCCTGGTCCTATGCTTTGTGGTCCTCGTCACAGACCACATTTGGGGACCAGTAGTGTGATTTGGTATAGTCAATAAGAGAGAGAAGTTAAGTAGCAAACAGAAATTCCCTGTGTATTTTTTTCCTTTGGGTAAACTAGTAAATTTTGATTTTTTTAATTGTTAAAATCTTTTGCTCTGAAGGTTTACATGAATACAACAGACTACTACTGAATTCCTTATACAGTGGTACCTCGGCACTCATCGTAAATTGGTTCTGGGAGGCAATTTAGGAATACCAAAAACAATGAGTATCAAACAAATCTTTCCCATAAGGAATAATATAGTGCAAAGGTCTCCAACCTTTCTGGGCTCGCAGACCAGAGGGAAGAATAGCTTCAAAATTGGTGCATGCGCACATGGGGCCACGCACACTGGTGCAGCACTAGCAGCCATGTTCGTGCAGGTGGCATATGCTGGTGCCATGTGCATGTGCGAACAACCGCACAAATCACCTGGGCTAGCGATGCATGCGCAAACGGGCTGCAGACATCCACCTCGTGCTAGCGTCCCTGTTTGCAAGGGGGGGGAATGCATGCCCACGTGTGCGTGCACCGGCCAGCAATTTCCGTAGCCCACTGGCCAAGAGCCCGTAAGGACACCTGATGTTTGTGAGTCACAAGGCAGTCGACACTGACAAGTTCTATCTTGGTACATTGAGTACCGAACAAATGATGAGCACTGGGACAAAAACTTTACACGTCGAAATGCGTCGAGTACCAAATCTGATGAATTTCAAAGCAGTTGAGTACCAAGATACCACTGTATAAGGCCATCATTTATTTAGTTAAGAGTAGAAATAATTTAAATGCTCACTCTCCAGCTGAAAAAAAAAAAAGGAATATCTTCAAAGGTCTGGTAGCTCCAGAGAAAACTGAGAAAGATCAAACCAAAGCCAGGTGAAATCAATGGTCTTTCCTCTATCCCCATTTCTCCAAAGTTGTTATTTGACAAAAAGCGGCAAACATTTGTAGGCATCTTACCATCATATAAGGGTCATCCACAATGGGATAAATGTAGTCTGTTGTCTGGACCAAAGACAAGCCTCCGTGTCTCAAAGGAATAACACACGTATCCATGCCAATTCCTGTAACAAAAGTAACTTGCTTTATTTTTCAGAATTTGGCCAGTTCTTGTAATTTCCTTTCTATTTCTACATATTCCTAGCGTATAGAGCAGGGGTAGGCAACCTTGGCTCTTTTATGACTCGTGGACTTCAACTCCCAGAATTCCTGAGCCAGCCATGCTGAGGGGAAAGGGAGAGGTTTCTAAGCTGAGACACTCTGGCTCAGGAATTCTTTTGAAGTCCACGAGTCATAAAAGAGCCAAGGTTGTCTACCTCTGGCCTAGGCCTAGGTCACTTTATGACTCGTGGACTTCAACTCCCAGAATTTCTGAGCCAACATGGCTCAGCTTGGAAACCTCTCCGTTTCCCCTCAGCGTGGCTGGCTCAGGAATTCTGGGAGTTGAAGTCCACGAGTCATAAAAGAGCCAAGGTTGCCTACCCCTGGCCTAGGCCTAGATCGCTTTCTGACTCGTAAACTTCAACTCCCAGAATTCCTGAGCCAGCATGGCTCAGCTTGGAAACCTCTTCCTTTCCCCTCAGTGTGGCTGGCTCAGGAATTCTGGGAGTTGAAGTCCACGAGTCATAAAAGAGCCAAGGTTGCCTACCCCTGGTATAGAGTAATCCAAACTGCGCACATCCTAGTGCGACTCTGAAAGCAATGAATGAAATAGTTGTGTTTCTTTTCTCATCAACTCTACTACGTTCTTCAGCATTGTCTTCCCGAGGATTCTTCACAAATTTTAAGAACTGTTGATGTTTCCTCCTGCAGCAACAGCCATACAAATATTTGATAAATCGCCTGACTGCCACATTATTAGGAATATAGTTCTTTCTTTGTATCGTACCAGTGAGAGATTCGAATCCCCTCTTTCATGAAGAATTTAACAGACAGATTTGTCATGCAAACCTGTTCTATTTTCCATACACTAAAAAAAAAGAATGAATAAGTTTTTAAATTAGTCAAAATGTGAGAACCTGCATCAAAACTCCTCTACTGAAGGAAAATTATATAGTTAGCAAAAAATAGATAGGTACGTGATTCTTTCTCGACTTTCAGAAGGAATTCATTTTATACTGCTCAAAGTTTGATCACATGACCAAGGGGGTCCTGCAATAGACATAACTTTGGGCACGCGTTGTAAGTCATAACTTTGATCAATTGCTGAATGAATGGTCGTAAGCTGAGGACTACCTGTACCTGAAATGCTAAGGCAAAAGCCAATATATGGTTTTGGTTTTTAATATCGTTTGCCTTTTCACTTATATGTCTCCACGCCAGATACACCAAACTCAGAAAAAATAATTAACATGGACTAAATCAGGGGTCTCTAACCTTTGGGCCGTGGCCTGGGACCGGGCTATAGGCTCTTGGCCAGCAGGCCGCGGAAATGGCTGGCTGATGCGCGCATTCCCCCCCACTCGTGCTAGTGCCCATGGCCCCATTCGCACATGTGCGCGCGTGCGAATGGGGATGCTAGCATGGCGCGGGTGTCCGCAGCCCATTTGCGTATGCGCCACTAGCCCAAGTGGTTTGTGTGGCCCGTTCGCACATGCGTGAACAGGCTGCGCGGCTGTTTGTGCATGCGCACGGTGCCAGCACATGCTGCATGTGCGAATGGGACTGCTAGTGCCGCACCAGTGTGCGTGGCCCCATGTGCACGGTCACCAATTTTGAAGCTGCTCTCCTTCCCTCTGGTCCGCGAGACCGGCAAGGTTGGAGACCTCTGGACTAAATTCACCATTAGCAGGATATGATTAAAAAAAAAAAAGGCTCCCATTTTAAGATTAAAAATAAAAAAACATACCTATAAAAAGATTTACACCAACAGCATTTTCATACATTAAGGCAATAATCTTGCATATAAATGCTTTTTTGTTATAAAGTGGAAAGTCAAAGGTTTTAAACTAGTTATGGAATCCAATAGTTTTCATATTACTATCTGAGACGTAACTAAAGGAAGCTGCCTTATATCTGAGCCAGACCATAACAGTTTTTGCCGATATGTTCCCATATGGTTTTAGGTAGAAGATTTTTAAAGGGACGGGTTACTTAATCTAGGCATCTTTATGTTCTGCTCTTTAATAATGTGCATCAAAGATCTAAGAAATAATTATAACCAGTATTCTTACCCAATCTTGGCATAACAGCCCCCAAAAACTGTTCATCTTCTTGGAAGTGGTTTTCTTGTAAGGATTCAAGCAATTTCTGCAAAATGTCCTGAGGCACTTTACAGCCGGTGCCTTTAAGTTCCGTGAATCGGGTTAACCGAAAACTTTTGTCAAGTTCGTAACTTTCTGGATTAAAGGACTCTCGAACAGACATGATTCTCACGCTGTAAGTAACCACAGATTTCCTTCTTTATGAAATAGGTTGGTTATCCTAGGTTTAAAAAAAAATACAAACACATAGCATAAAATTCGCCTTTTACGATAGTTATATATTCTATGTAAAAATATGAATGTCAACTATTTTTGCATGGAAAAATGCCAAGAAAATTCTTTGTGAAACAGCCCCTTAAGATTTCATTTTGGTCTGGCCTGAAATAAGTTTAAATATGTTTGCCTTACACATCTCTCAGAATTTCAGTCGTCTTTTCACCAATTTGTTTTGGTTTTTCATTGCATACTTGGAATTAGAGATAATTTGCACAATGATGGCAGTTTAGTGCAAACTTCTGAGGTATTTCTTCCAGCGGTTTAAGTGAAATAAAATAATGCCCTGAAGGATGCCAATCATGTCAGTTTGGGATCGCTATCATCTATCAACATGACTCAATAATTTGCTACCCTAAACTCAGACAAGTGGAAATGGATCCAAAAATAATTTGGAATGAATCCCAAAGAATCAATATTCTTCAAGACTATCTGAAAATGACAGCTATCAGATGATCTAGAGCAGTGGTGGTGAACCTATAGCACGCGTGCCAGAGGTGGCGCTCTGTTGGCACGCGCACCATGCCCGGGAGATGGCAACCGTCCCTCTTCAACCAGCCACCCGCTAACTCGCCGAAGTCCCACATGGCTGGATGCATCCCAGCACCCATGTGCTCGCTGGCTCATGTGCAGGGACCGATGGTGTCAGGCAGCCACCGCCCCGACCCCTGCCTCATCTTGCCCTGTGACAGTGGCACTCCCACCCTGCTTCTCCTCATCCCACAGCCTCCTACCCACTGCCCCACCTGCCAGAGACCCCCTGGATTTCCCCCAACCCTGCCTGCCCCCCACAGGCGTCCCTCCCCATGAGCAACATTGAGGTGATCACGCCCACGTTGGCCACACTCACTCAATCTGCCATGACCACCACAGCCACGCCCACCCAGTGGGCCATGCCCACCTGGCACCCGGTGATAAATAAGTGGGTTTTGGGTTTCAGTTTGGGCACTCGGTCTCTAAAAGGTTTGCCATCACGGATCTAGAGTCTAGATCAGTGGTTCTCAACCTGTGGGTCGGGACCCCATTTGGGGTCGAACGACCATTTCACGGGGATCACCAAACAACGCAGTCCGCCATTTTTTTTCTCCTTTTCCTTAGCTGTGCTACTCCCTTTTATTCTATTGGCTTTTGAAAGCCAATAGAATAGACTCTCTTGAATAGAGTCTAATTCTATTGGCTTTCAAAAGCCAATAGGAATTGTTCAGGCTGTCTCTGCCCTGCTGAGCCCGCCAAAAGTCCCATTCTGCAAACGGTGCTGCACCAGTTGAGTAGTCCTCGACTTATGACCGGTTGAGTAGTCCTCGACTTACGACCGGTTGGGAGTCGCGGCATTAAAAAGGTTGAGAACCACTGTGGTAAAGGAACACAGCCTAAATACCTCAATGAGGAAAGTGATATTTTGAATCAAACTATATGTGGCATTGCTGTATTATTTAAGCTTGTATTTTCCTCCAAAAGAATTTTCAATTGGCATTACTATCTAAAATGTTACTGTTCTCTTATTAAATAACTAAACAGTTATAACATTATTACTGAAGTGTATATTTGCTATATTCTTCAACAAGGGATGGTTAGGAGGGCTGGATGCCTAACTGAACACAGGCTGCAATTTTAATATATTTCTGAATAGATAACATTCCATTCCATATGAATTTTAAACAGAGCTAAATACATTTTAAGAGGTTAGCTAAATATCAAAAAGAACATTACATAAAGTTTACATTCAGCTAGATCATGCCATAGTACAGCTGAAGTTTTAAATATTTCAGCCTTATAAACAGGAGCAATATTTTAACAATTTTCTTCTCTTTCACAAATGAGACACCACCATTTCTTTACAAAACACTGAAGATAAGCAAGCAAACTCTTCACGTGTCCAGAGGCCCTTTCTTATAGACATATGAGAGCATGGTAACATCTAGGCATTATACACATGGAATATTACACACAAACACACCAGAAATGTGACAACATTTTGCAGCCGCACCTGCAGTATTCCAAGCGTATCATCCTGACTCTTTGGAAAAGCCATGAAGTTAAACAGAAAGAGATTTTCCAGCCAATTGAAGGGTAGAGACACCAGCGCCGAGTTTATATAATTCCTTTGGCTAAAAGGTGCAATACAGAGACCCAAGCGATTCGGTGAACCCCGGGTCCCAAAGGTGCTTTTTCCCCAACAGGCAACTGGACTTTTGTCTTCTTCTTCTTCTTCTTTCCCTTGAAAACATTTCACTTCTCATCCAAGAAGCTTCTTCAGTTCAGATGAGTTCCGTGAATTGGGATGTCTATGGAGATTCTTAGTCATCCAGGTCATGATTGTCCCAAAGCTGCTTTTTTTTCCCAAAAGGCAACTGGACTTTGTTTTTCTTGCTTTGAAAACAGAAGTTTAGAACTGAAGAAGCTTCATGGATGAGAAGCGAAGTGTTTTCAAGGGAAAAAAAATCCCAAGAAAGTCCAGTACAGGTAGTCCTCAACTTACGAACACAATTGAGCCTAAAGTTTCTGTTGCCAAGTGAGACATGTATTGAGTTTTGCCCCCTTCTATGACCTTTCTTGCCACGGTTGTTAAGTGAATCACTGCAGCTGCTCCTAACACGGCTTTTAAGTGAATGTGGCTTCCCACATCAACTTTGCTTGTCAGAAAGTTGCAAAAGGGGATCATGTGACCCCCGGGACAATGCAACGGTCGTATGTATGAACCAGTTGCTAAGCCTCTGAATTTTGATCACATGACCATGGGGATGCTGCTGCACCTGTCCTAAAAGTATGAAAAATGGTCATATTTCAGTGCCCTTGTATCTTCATCACTAAACGAACTGTTGTAAGTCGTGGACTACCTTTATTTGCCTTCATTCACAAGAAAGGACCTTTTAGACCACCATTCCTTGGATGATTGAGAATCTCCATAGACTGGAACTGGAGAATAAAACATATGAGGAACGGTTGCTGGAATTGGGTATGTCTAGTTTAATGAAGAGAAGGACGAGGGGGGGACATGATGGCAGCGTTCCAATATCTCAGGGGCTGCCCCAAAGAAGAGGGAGTCAAGCTATTTTCCAAAGCGCCTGAAGGCAGGACAAGAAGCAACGGGTGGAAACTAATCAAGGAGAGAAGCAACCTAGAACTAAGGAGAAACTTCCTGACAGTGAGGACAATTAACCAGTGGAACAACCTGCCTCCAGAAGCGGTGAATGCTCCAACGCTGGAAGTTTGTAAGAAGAGACTGGACAGCCATTTGTCCAAAATGGTATAGCGCAGTGATGGCAAACCTTTTAGAGACCAAGTGCACCCCAAAACCCATTTATGCATCGTTGGGTGCCAGGTGGGCATGGCCCATTGGGTGGGCATGGCCCATTGGATGGGCGTGGCCACAGTGGTAACAGCAGACTGGGTGGGACTAAAAAGTTCAATCAATTCCAACTTTGCAAGATCTTTTTTTTTCTCGAGAGAAATTGAAATTGACTGATTGATTGAACCTTTTTTTTTTTGCTTAAAAACGTTTTATAAAACCCAGCTGAAGGCCTAGGGCTGGGGCGACGCTGCGCGTGCCCACAGAGAGGGCTCTGAGTGCCGCCTCTGGCACCCGTGCCATAGGTTCGCCACCACTGGTATAGAGTTCCCTGCCTGAGCAGGGGGTTGGACTAGATGACCTCCGAGGTACCTTCCAAGTTGATTATTATTATTATTATTAATAATAATAACCCCAATTCACTGAACTGAAGAAGCTTCTTGGATGAGAAGAGAAACGTTTTCAAGGAAAAAACCAACCAACCCAAGAAAGTCCATTTGCCTTTTGGAAGAAAAGCCCCTTTGGGACTACCAAGGCCTTGGATAACTGAGACTCTCCATGGACCAGCAAGGTTCTTCGGGTCAGTCCCGATGGCAGCAGCCCAGCCCGTCTCCGCCTTCCAGTCGACAAGCTTTTTTGGCGGGGCGTAATCCGGAGTCGCTCCGAAGCAAGAGCCAGATTGGGAGTCCTGGCCTGCCTTCGGGGGAGATGGATGCATCACGTGGGGGGAAGCCCAGCGAGGGCGGGGGGGGCGGCGGCAGAAGCCCCTCCCCCCACCTCCCAGGCGCCTTTCCCGCCTTCTCTGGGCCGCCTTGCCACTCCTCTTGGCTCTGGCGGGGGCGGAGCTTGGACCCTCGCCCCTCCCTTGAGGGGCGGGGCCGCGGTGGAGAGAGAAAGAGCACCAAGCCAGGCTCGCGCTCCGGGCGTTCCACGCGCAGCGCGCACGCGCGAGGCCTCCGGCCCCCGCCCGTCGGGGAGTAGTAAAAAAAAAAAAAAAAAGATGTCGGCGGGCGGAAAGATTAACCTCTTCCCCTCCAGAGGCGGGCAAGAGTCTTTTTTTTTTTTTTTAAAGAGGCGCTTTCAGGCCCCTCCTGGCTTTCCTCAACCCCCTCCTCCCGCTTCTCCCCGCGCGCTTTTCCCCCACCCCGAGGGGTGGGGTGGGGGCGCGTTCCCCTTTAAGCGCCCCTCCCTCCTCACCCGCCTCTTTTGCCCCCCCCCGGCGGCCCTCTCTTACCGCGTCTCGTCTGCTCTCCCGCCCGCCGACGGGACTCCCCGCGCCGATCCGGCTGCCCCAGTCCGTCCCACAATGCACCGAGCGCCTGGCCGGCCCGGCTCGCGCTCGCCCTCTCCCCTCAGCGCCGCCTCAGTCGCGGGAGGAGGGGGGGGCCAGAAAGGAGCGCCGATGCCGACGCGGGCACGAGGGGGTTAATCCTCCCCGCCTCCTTCCCATCCCTCAACGGCCGAGGAGGGGGGGGCAGAAACTAACGGCTGCGCCCGAGTGCTGCCTCGGAGGGGAGGGAGGGCGCCGCCCCCTCCCTGCGCACGCGCGCGGGACGCCCCGAGCGCGCCTGCGCAGGGAAAGACGGGCTGGCTTGAGGTCGGAAGGGCGGGGCAAAGGCGGGCGCCTCAGGGGAGACTTTCCTCTTTCCCCTCTCCTGGCTTTCTGCGCGGATGGGAGGCCACCAGGTGATCCAGGGCTCCTAATTGCAGCTGAGGGGGAATAAAAGCAAGTAGTCCTCAACTTACCATCAAAATTGATCCCCCCCCCAAATTGATGATGCTAAGTGAGACATCCGTTGTGAGTTTTTCTTGCCAGGTTTGTTGAATGAATCACTGAAGTTGTTAAATTAGTAATCTGATTATTAAATGAACCTGTCTTCCCTGTTGACGTGGCTTGTCAGGAGGTCGGAAAAGGGGACCACGTGACCCAGGGACGCTGCAACCATCATAAATATGAGCCAGTGGCCAAGCGTCTGAATTTTGATCATGTATCCATGAGGACGCTGCAATGATAGTGTGAAAAATGGTCATCGGTCACTTTTCCAGTACTGTTGTAACTTTGAATGGTCACTAAACGAACTGTTGTAAGTCAAGGACTACCTATAGTCTGGAATGAGACAGACGTTACAAGCCCCATCTGGAAAAGCAGATATTGACTAAAGGAGACTGTGTAGGTGGTGGTATCTGGCTGGCATTGTGAGGGTATAAAGCGTGGTCAGAAATGGGCTGGATAATAGGCCACCAGGAGATCCCTAGGCTCAACTAGGAAAGCATCCTGGATGAAGGAAGGAGCGAACTGCTTTCAAATTACAGCCAAAAATTTATGTGATACATCTACAAGGTCTCCTGGAGTTGGGATCCATAGTACAGGCTTTTCAACCTTTTCACCCACTATACCACTTTTAGGATACGGCAATATCCTAGTACCATCAGTCGCCTAGCAAGCTGTCAAACCTGGCTGTGGCAGGTTTTGGTCACTTCACATGACCCTAGGACACTGTGACCATCTTAAATATGAATCCGTTGCCAAGCATCTGAATGTAAATCACAAGACCCTGAGGATGCTGCAACATTCCAGCTGATCGGCGCTTCTTCTGGGCTCAGCAGAAGCGCCAGGATCAGCACGAGCTCCAGCTGGAGCCTGGCGCTGATCCTGGCGCTTCCACTGAGCCCTGACAGTCCCGAAGAAGCACTGATCCTGGCGCTTCCGCTGAGCCCTGGCAGCCCTGCAGCTCCAGCCATCTCTCGCTCAGGCTTGTGCGGTGCTGCCACCAGTTCAGCTCATTCCTTTCCCCCGCTACCACTTTTCTAGGATGGTCGCGTACCACCTGCCAGGTGCCAATGTACTACAGGTGGTACCCGTACCACTGGTTGAAAAGCCCTGCCATAGTGTATGGATGAAGGACCACCAGGAAATGCCATTCACTGGACCACACTAGATAGTTGGGGGAAAAAAACATTCTTGAAAAAGACAAAGCATTTATTTATGATCCAGGGTGGGTCCTCTCGAGTCCTCCAACTCAGCTTAAAGGAGAACTTTGATTTCATGCATTTAATTTTAGTGGTTTGCTTAAAAACTGAAACATTATGAATTGAGTAGCTCCATAACATCCAGAAACTCCCCCCCCCTGCTTTTTTTCTTTCTTTCTAGACATAAAAGTCTAGAGATTCTCTCTCATCCAAGTCATGGTTGTCCCAAAGATGCTTTTCCAAAAGGCAACTGGATTTTCTTGGTTGTTTCCTTGAAAAGATTTCTTCAGTTCTCTTCAGAAAGCTTCTTGGATGAGAAGTGAAAAGGCTTCAAGGAAAAAAACTAAGAAAATTTGAGAGGGAGGGAAGGAAGGAAGGAAGGAAGGAAGGAAGGAAGGAAGGAAGGAAAGAAAAAAAAAATGTCTTGGGACTTTCTAGGGATATGTAGGCTGGATTGCAAGCAGCCACTGCCATGATATTAGGAGTCAAGATGGATTTGAAAGGGATTTCAAATGTCATTAAAGCTCCATCTACCTGTCTGCGGATTTCTGTTCTCAAAGAAGCAGCTTGAAGTCAGACAAATGAGTCTCCCCACCCTTTCCCTTCCTTGGCTTCCTCAGGCTGAATGCTCTTTAGCATGTGCAGAGGGCTTCTTCATTGCAAAATCAGCTTTATTAAGAACATCTGGCTCTTGGTGCAGCCATGCTTAGTGCATTCCCGGCCTGAAAGAGACAGGCTGACCTTATTTTCTAGCCACTCAAGCTGAATACTTTGAAGCACCTCCAGAGCGTTTACAGAACAACCTTTAATATAGAGGCAGCTTTGCCAAGAATCTTTGCCTGTTTGCAAAATGTGTTTCTTCTCTGAAAGAAGGCTAAAGAGGAAAGGGGGGAAAAAAACAACAACCCCAGAGCAAAAATACTTCTTCTAATTTGCACAGTGCAACTCCAGGACTCTCAAATGCAGAATTTGTAGCCTTGCCAAATTGCAACTGCCCAGTCCATAATTCAGGAAATCACATTTAGTACAATGTTTGGATCTAGTCTTGATGCAAACTGCAGATAGTTCTCAAGTTATAACCTCAATGGAGCCCAAAGTTTTCGTTGCTAAGTGAGACATTTGTGAAGTGAGTTTTGCCCCATTTTACGACCTTTCTTGTTACAGTTGTTAAGTGAATCACTGCAGTTGTCAAGTTGTTAAATGAATCTGGCTTTCCCCGCTGACCTTTGCTTGATAGAAGGTCACAAAAGAGGATCACGTGAGTACGAGACACTGCGACCATCATAGATATGAGTCAGTTGCTCAGTGTCTGAATGTAGATCACATGACCATGGGAATGCTGCAGTGGTCATAAGTGTGAAAAACGGTCCTACATCACTGTTGTACGTTGAGGACTACCTGTACAATGTTTGGATATAGTCTTGAGAACATGCAAACTATGGCAAACTTGGGGATCCCCCAAATTGTAGATGGCAATTCCCGTTCCTGTTAAATATGTCAGGGCTTTTCAACCTTTTCACCCATTGTACCATTTTTAGGATAAGCCAACATCCAAGTACCACCAGTCGCCTGGCAAGGTGTCAAAAACTTGATGACCAAAAAAAAAAGGAAAAAAGTGATAAAGTACAGGTAATCCTCGACTTACAACATTTACCTTAGTGACTGTTCAAAGTTACAATGGCACTGAAAAAAGTGCCGAGCAAGACACCTGCCTGCCCGCCCAGCGGCGCTCTTCCTCCTGTCCGAGGTTTTCATTGTTGTGAGCATTTCTGTTGAGGATTGGCAGCGGAGGTGGTGTGGGGGGTGTTTGGTTTTTATTCCCCCCCCCCTCCGTCTGCTGGGTCGTTGCAGCAGGTTTTGGTCACTTCACATGACCCTGGGACACTGTGACCGTCATAAATATGAATTAGTTGCCAAGCATCTGAATGTAAATCACAAGACCCCGGAGATGCTGCAACATTCCAGCTGACCGGCGCTTCTTCTGGGCTCAGCAGAAGCACCAGGATCAGCACCGAGCTCCAGCTGGAGCCTGGCACTGATCCTAGCGCTTCCACTGAGCCCTGACAGCCCTGCAGCTCCAGCCATCTCTCACTCAGTGTTGTGTGGTGCTGCCACCGGTTCAGCTCATTCCCCTCCCCCACTACTTTTCTAGGATGGTCGCGTACCCCCTGCCAGGTGCCAATGTACCACAGGTGATACCTGTACCACTGGTTGAAAAGCCCTGAAATATGTGACTGTAAATGTTTGAAAAGTTTTCTGTTTTTTTTAAAAAAAAAGGTCCTCAGAGCTTACTCATTGATTTCCCAGACTTCAAAAGACGGCACACCTTTATTTTGAAAGTAATAGCAAATTATAGACAAGTAATTAAGTAGCACTGTGTGCGCACATTCACTTTTCTTTCATTGTCTTTCTATTTTGCCTATTGTTCAGCAAGTTTGCATCCTGGCCAAGCCATGGACGAAATTATGACGGGATCCTCCTTGTGACTAGATTGTTCTCTAGCTCAGAGGTCCCCAACCTTTTGGGCACCAGGGACCGGTTCCGTGGAGAGAGGTTTTTCCGTGGACCGGAGAGTGTGTGGTTTTGTGTGCTGCCTGCATCCCACTGATGGGGCTTTGCTTGTTTGTGCGGATTGGTTGCTGGCCTGCCACGGATCAGTACCGGTCCATGGACCGGTGATTGGGGACCCCTGCTCTAGTTGAATTCAAAGACTATTCTGACGGTCCAGAATAAAGATGGTAGCTATTATTATATTGTTTGGGCTTGACGTTGCATGTTATAGGAACTCAGCTAATTCAGCTAACAATAGTTAAACAGTGCCGCCACTCTGCTAAACAACTATTTCCCACAACACTGTCAAGCTGCCTAGTAGAGCTGTATTACTATGATTCTTCTCATCCTTCTATTACAGTGGTTCTCAACCTGTGGGTCGGGACCCCATTTGGGGTCGAACGACCATTTCACGGGGGTCGCCAAACAGGCTGTCCACCATTTTTTTCCCCTTTTCTTTGGCCACGCCCCTGGCACCCGGTGATGTATAAGTGGTTGGGGGTCACCACAACATGGGGAACTGTATTATGGGGTCACGGCATTAGCAAGGTTGAGAACCACTGTTCTATTACCTATCTCCTTATCTTCTTATGACTATAACTGGGTTGCTTATCTTATGTATCTTACGATTTATATTCATTGTTTTATTTAGTATCCTAAATGTATGTTTAGTATGATGTATGTTGATTGCTTATTTAGTATCCTGTGACTATCACTAAGTGTTGTATCTTATGATTTATGATGAATGTATTTTATGATTATGATCATGATTATATCACTTGTTGCTTGTATGTACGCTGAAATCTTCTGCACTGGAGACAAATTCCTTGTGTGTCCAATCACACTTGTCCAATAAAGAATTTTAACTCTAATTCTAATTATGCTTAATACAATTTCAAGAAATCAAGTGACCACTTTTTTCTGAGTAGTGTGTCTCAGATTTTCTATTAAAATATTTACCAAGGGGCTGGATTTTAGCTAATTCAGACTTTATGGGAGCCCACTTCTAGACTGCATATAAAATTTTAAGTTGGAGGTTTATGGAGCTTGTTGTTGTTAGCTGCGAAGTCGTGTCCGACGCATCACGACCCCATGGACAATGTTCCTCCAGGCCTTCCTGTCCTCTACCATCTTCTGGAGTCCATTTAAACTCACGCCTACTGCTT